TGAGCATCGTTTTAATCATTGTAAAAATCATCAATATTACGATCAGACTAAGCATTGGAAAGAAGACAGGTGACATAGTAGTCTTGTTTTTCAGACGCATGACCAATATTTCCATGCATTTATTATGTCTGGATAAGCACAACCGAAAACAGACCGACTCCTGAAATGAACATTGGGTTGTAAAATGTAGAAAGATAGGTTGCCAGGCTAAATCGTCCGGGCAGTCAACAAGTGTTGTCGCATATTTTTACTTTTTTCGGTAATGAAACATTTATAATACACTAAAATCTGATTAAGAGTAAAACCTCATGAAATAATTATCAGAAAACCATTAGAATTTGATTTTTTATAAAGTTCTGCCCCATGATAACGTTTATTATACAAAACTTTTAATATCATGGATTTAGCTGTTCAAGTCATAAAAATTCATTCAAAATCAATATACTTGTTCGTCTCAAGATCTTAAACTCTGCGTATCATTCTGAAGTCAATTGGATGATAACTTTAGCCTCTAGAGCGTCACAAGATTTTTCAAAGTGATCAAGGGCCATAACGTTGGCAGTAATTATCGTAAATTGTGAAAATCAATAGGCTTCTTCATCTCATAACCTTAAAACACTGTGTATAAATTTAAAGTCAATCGGATATTAACTTTAGCCTCTACAGTGTCCACCAGATTTTTCAAACTGATCAAGTGGCATAACTCTGGCATTAATTATCGTAAATCACTGAAAATCAATAGACTTCTTCGTCTCATGGCCTTAAACACTGTATATAAATTTTAAGTCAATCGGATATCAACTTTGGTCTCTAGAGCGTCCAGAAGATTTTTTGAAGTGATCAAGGACCATAACTCTGGCAGTAATTATCGGAAATTTGCTGAAAATCAATAGGCCTCTTCGTCACTCGACCTTAAACACTGTGTTATTTAAAGTCAATCAGATATTAACTTTAGCCTCTAGAGAGTCAATAGGCTTCTTCGTCTCATGGCCTTTAACATGGCTACTTGAACCCCCACAACAAATTATTCTTCAAATTATTCAATATCACACTTCAAGAGGAGACAAAAGCAATTAGTGATATTTATCATTAGTGGGCATTGTTCACATTACAAGTTCGTGGGGAAAAGGCTATGTGATTGCACTAACCAATTTAATACTTTCAATACTGTGACCAACTCTTATCTCCAAATTAGCCCAAAATAAAATCCTAATTTGAACAAACATGGCACAAAATAACTACTGATAGGAGTGATAAATACTGATAACCCCAATAAAATTTTACTTGGTTACAAAAGGTTCCAAAAACATGTGCAGCAGAAAATGTTATCAAAGTACCAGTACATGTAAAAGGATATTACATGAAATGAACAGAAAATCTGATTATTTTTAACACCCTGAATTAGTCACAAACAGTAAAACAGTGGTAAAAGCTGAAACAACTGGCACATAAGGTAAAATCAATCTCTTAATTTTGCAGTAGTAATCCATGCAGAAGACACCTGTACTCAAAATTTCAATATTACTGCTTTAATGCTCCTTGACAAAAATGTTATTGCTTTTTTTTTTTTAACTATATAATTGGTCATCATATATGTATCCTAAAAGTTCACCATGCCAGAAAGTAGACCTACTTGTGTATCTCCTCCTGCCACACTATTATAACCTTTAAAGTATCCACAAGATTTTTCAAAGTGATCAAAGGCCATAACTCTGGTAGTAATTATCAGAAATCGCTGCAAATCAATAGGCTTCTTCGTCTCATGACCTTAAACACTGTGTATTGGATATTAATGTTTGCCTCTAGAGCATCCACAAGATTTTTCAAAAGTGTTCAAGGGCCATAACTATAGCAGTAACTATTGGAAATCCCTGAAAATCAATAGGGTTCTTTGTCTCATGCCCTTATACACTATAAATTTAAAGTCAATCGGATATTAACTTTAGCCTCTAGAGCATCAACAAAAATTTTCAAAGTGATCAAGGGCCATAACTCTAGCAGTAACTATTGGAAATTCCTAAAAATCAATAGGCTCCTTTGTCTTGTGACCTTAAACACTGTGTATAAATTTAAAGTCAATCAGATATTAATGTTTGCCTCTAGAGCCTCCACAGGATTTTTCAAAGTGTTCAAGGGCCATAAATCTGGTAGTAATTATCGGAAATCGATGAAATTCAATAGGATTCTTCGTCTCATGACTTTAAACACTGTATAAATTTAAAGTCAATCAGATGTAAACTTTAGCCTCTAGAGCGTGCACAAGCCATTGCAGATGCTGGATCGACAGACAGACAGACGGTTGCGGCGGCAATATACAACCACATTTCAATGTAGACGCATAAAAATGTAGATACAGTTTGTATCATTATCGAAATTTAAGAACTCATCATAGTCATACTTTATTAATTCATAATATTACAATACTTTATTAGTTCTTAATATTACAAACACATAGTTCTCAATAGGTTTTATTTTCAACCCTAGTAATAGAAATGGCGGGAGAATGTCAAGTAATTGCTATTGTTGAAAGACATAGCTATCGCTTTGATGTCTTATTACCGCATGAAGCATTACGACAACTTTTATAGATACATGTATACACGAGCCGATCAATTTAGGGAATTATATCATAATCAACATTTAAAAAATGATAATCTTGACTTAAATAATCATACAGTAAATAATTAAGTTAACAATAATAGTGCGTATTTTACACTGCGTAGGAAGCGTGACCCAAGATTTGATTCCCGAAGTAAAATACTATCAGTCGTTACCCGGCTAACAATCACATGTATTTACATCAATTATGACATTCAGAGCATTTTAATGTGTAATTGTTTTATATCCACCACTATCAACAAATGTATCTGTATCGGCCAATATATTTTGCTGTCAATATCAGATATTGGTAAAACCAATAGTAGCCATATCGGAACATCACTAGTTACCATAAAGTCAAAGATCTTGCAGTATGACCTGTCAAGGTACCATACTGACCTCCAGATTAAAGAAGTACTAGTTATTTCAGGATTCTTTTTTTAGGTTTTGTTTTTTTAAATACAAACAGGATATTTGCAAGTGTCCTGAATGCAACCCGTTTGAATTTTTCATAAATGTTTAAATACACAATACAAAGAGTCACAATATTTACTGCAGTGCTGTTACATTGTTAGCAGAATAACATGTACCGGTAGGTCCCCTAAATGACATGGGGGATATGTGTCTACTCTAACTGGGTGTAGATACATGTACTTCACAATGTTATAAACTAGTGTTAAACAAGTGTACATGTAGATGTGTGAAATTTCTTATCATAAAACTGGCTGTGAATCTAAAGGTGTTTGCATACGTATGGATAATGTGCGACAGGGTTGGTCCTGGATAATTTAGAGCGACAGGATAGTTACTGAAGTGACAAGAGGCGGGTCTTCCGATAGTCGCACAAGATTTCTATAAAAGTCTGGAAATTCAATATTCATAACTTATATAGTCTGTACACACAAAAGCCTGAATAAACCATGACTAAAATTATCTATGAAAAAATGTAAGTACACTTTGCAGGAATGGGAGAGATCACTGAGGAATGACAAGGTGCAGAGTGTGGAAAATCAAGACGGTTAATACCCTCTTATTACCCAAAAGCTGCACACCAAATCTGAAAAGAATCTGTTAATAACTGTAGCTTATCAAGCAACTTGTCAACAGTTGGATGACTATATACAACCAAACTATATGTGAGAAACTTCCAATCAATAGAAACAGGTAACACAAATCAATTGCAGAAGGTTTGATGAGATCAATTTTGACCAAGTCAAAATGATGCAATTTATGTGTGGGCACATAAAAATGTTGGGTTTTTTTTTCAAAGATAAAATAATAGAATTAATGTCAAAGATTATTGATAATATTGAGTTAAAATAGATTTAACTACTTTTATTTTTTTGAGTGTGAATATCATAATTTGGCACATTTATTCGAATTCTGTCATGCCTCAATAAACTGTTTGAAGCTAGGGCAACAAATCTGACAATAATAATATAATACTCAATATCAAATATCAAAAAATTATTCAAGTTTGCTGGTTTCAAAACATTCATTTGTATTTGAAGCAAGGACAAATAACCGTTATGTCATCTTAAGGTAAAACAGACAAGTACAAGAATGGAATTGATAATAATTAGCCAGCTTTAGTTTCTGGAATCACAGTCAGTTAAAGCGAACAATTCAAAAGCAGCGATTTTCTTAAGATTGTGATGATGAAAGACCTTTCAGAATGATCAGAAATTAAAGTTTTCATACCATAGTTTAACCAAACTTGTAACCCAGACACATCGTTATTAGCATAATGATATGTAAATCATATAATTTTAGATGTTTCCAGACAGTTGACAGTGAAAGAATTGCAAACTCTATTTTTCTGGGGGTTTTAAAAAGTTCAAATAACAGAAAAATATTCCCAAACCCTGAATTTCTTTTCTGATTGTATGGTACTCTGTCCTATCTTAATTCGATACATTTTACTGGGTTGACAGCCAACAAAAACAAATTTGTGATAACTTTTATTTTGTTTTATGAATATTATCATTTATATTCAATTTAATATTTTTAATATTCAAATTTTCCGCTGGTAAAAAATATCACGACTGTAACACATGACTCACAAACCGAGTATAACGACCTTTGATCAGCTGGGACAAAAAGTAGTCGAGAGTTATATTTAGCTCTGTTGAAATCGAACAAACAAAAAAGGGTCTGGAACATAAAAACCTTGGCGGAAATATTTCTGAAAACAGTTAAGTTCTTTCCTCTTCATAAATTAACTTTATGTCTGGCAGAAACCCATAGAATGTTAAATGTTAATTTATTTTTCTAATTCGGGTCCACGTCAAAAATAACGGAAAAATTGTCTGCATTGCCTGCTGCAATCGTCATCGTCTGGCATATATTACATAAGTTACTAAATTAACCGCAGTTCAAAAAAGTGAAAATCAAATACATACCATTTTCGGGATCAATGTACAAACTATGACACTCTTTCAGAATTTTTTCATTTACGGTTTGCGTGGCAGAATCGGCGGTATTTGCTGACGTCCTGGCTTTAACTTTTCCCGACATCTTGCTTGCTGCTGTCAAAAGTGGACAGACCAGTCTAGGCTCGTGCGGATCTTTAAACTTCGATTTCCGTCTGGAAAAATTAACCGACCTAAACCTGCAAAAACAAAGGTTATTTAAAACTATAAAATTTTCAGACAATTACCAATTAACTTCAAAAGCTGCTTGCAATAATATATAATTGGCATTTGTACTAAGAACCACCTTCTATACTCACTGACATTGCAACTAAATTCCAGACGATCCTTTCGGAGCTTTATAGAATATTGTGGCGACACCTATATCCGTCAGCTGATCGACGGGTGATTTGTTCAATGACAAAGAAGACGACCTTAGCAAATGCTTATTTTCATGAGAACGAATAATTTTCACCCTTTTCACCCATTTATGAGCTCAGTAATCTTTGATTCTTCATTTTCTGTATAAAACTCAAAAATAAAATCCGATATGGGCTCGGCAAAAGTCGCCGGTAATTTTGACCAATCAGATAATTCGCACCTGATTAACTGCTCGCCTGTCACGGCTGTTTAGCATTTCCGCTATGGCGTCGTTAGTTGCAGATTATTCTGATTCTTCTACTGATGACAATACTTACAGCGATTCTGATTCTATTATTGGAAGGTATAAAAAAATGTTCTTATAAATTGAATACACATTGGTTATTCGAACTGCCTTTACATCGTTTATTGCATATAATGCAAATATCGGATGGTCAACATAAACAGACCTCATATTCATAACCACATGCATATAATGCATTCAGTTGATTCAGCATTGCTTCAACTTGCATGATGATTTAATTATGCTTCATCAAGAGAATTTGAATACACTCCCTTAACTTCCAGTACTTATCCGTTTATCAGTATGAATGTTTCCAAACAGAATAATGATCCTTGGATAGAGGCCTAAGGCTAAAGAGGGTATCCCTAAAATGATAGATAAGAAACCTCATGGCTCATGTCTCAACATAAGACTAAGAGATGGTACTAATGTAGCAGGCATTGCCTGAGTAGAGCGAAGCTGGTGTGAGTGTTGTTAAATAATATGTAACAGACATTACCTGAGTAGAGCGAATGTGATGTGATTGTTGTTAAATATAAACCTTCATAATATAATTTCTCAAGTGATACAAATAATGTTAAATAATTTCGTTTTTCGGGCCTCCCTAATTTGCATGACGAATGACAACGAATGACGAATGACAAGGAATTTCTAAGCAATAACTGCTCCCTTTAGGCTAATATAATTCAACTACAGTATTGGGTTTAATAACTATAAGCTTAATTTGTCTTTTTTGGAGTAATTAATATTTTATTTCAATTGCATGAAACTGATCAGGGAACAGCCTGTATCACACTAGATAAGAAACCTCATCTCTCAACCTTCCGTCAGTAGAATCTGTCACCCGTCGGGTGACTTGTCATTCACTTTGTCATTCGTCCGGTGAATCTGTGCCATTCGCCTGGGGATTTGTCATTCACTTTGTCATTCGTCTGGTGAACATCTGTCATTCTCTAGATCTTTGTTACTCACTTTGTCATTCCTCCGGTTGGTGGATATGTCATTAAGTTTGTCATTCGTCCGGTGAATCTGTGTCATTCTCTGCCATTTGCCTGGTGATTTCTGTCATTCACTTTGTCATTCGTCTGGCGAAGTTCCGTCATCCACTTTGTCATTCATCTGGCGAAGTTCCGTCATCCACTTTGTCAGTCGTATAGGGGGGGGGGGGGATTTGCCCTAAAATTATCTTTGCCTTCCGAATTTTTAAAATAAATCAATCTGAAACTAAAACGAACTTCGCACAAAGCTCCATTTACGTATTGTAGTATTCAAAAAGTAAACCGCAAGCAATTTCATTTGTCAATTATTATGATATATGGTCTCATTCTCTAATGTTTGTGCCCGAACGGAAATACATTGCCCAAAAATGAACGGTTCACCAGACCAATGACATAGGTTCACCAGACCAATGACAAACAGAATGACAGAGGTTAACCACACAAATGACAGAGGTACACCAGACGAATGACGGACATATGAAAACGTGAATGACAGAAATCACCAGACGAATGACCGGGAATTACACCAGACTATTTACAGAGTGAATGATAATTCGCTAGACGGATGAATGACAAAGTGGATAAAATAGGTTTACAGGACGAATGACAATGTGGATAAACAGGTTCACCCGACGATTGAATAAGAGGATGTCAGATTCACTAGACGAATGACAAAAGTGGATGGCAAGAAATTCGTCGGCTGAATGCCAAAGGTATACCAGAAGTATGACAAAGTGAATGACACAGGTTGACAAGACGAGTGACAGAGTATGACACGGGTTCGCCACCCTAATGTCTGTTTGTCATTCGTGTGGTGAACCTCTGTCATTCGTCTGGTGAACATTCTCTTTGTCATTCGTCTGGTGAACATTCTCTTTGCCATTCGTCTGGTGAACATTCTCTGTCATTCTGTTTGTCATTCGGCTGGTGCACCTCTGTCATTGGTGTTGTGAAACTCTGTCATTCTGTTTGTCATTCGTGTGGTGAACCGATGTCATTCTGTCTGTCATTCGTCTGGTGTACCTCTGTCATTCGTGTGGTGAACCCCTGTCATTCTGTTTGTCATTCGTCTAGTGAAACTCTGTCACTATGTTTGTCATTCGCGTGTTGAACCTGTCATTGTGTTTGTTATTCGTCTGGTGTACCTCTGTCATTGGTGTGATGAAGCTCTGCCATTCTCTGTCATTCGTGTGGTGAACCTATGTCATTCTGGTTGTCAATCGTCTGGTGAACCTGTCATTTTGTTTGTCATTCATGTTGTGAGCCTCTGAGATTCTCTGTCATTGGTGTGGTGAGCTTATGTCATTTTGTTTGTCATTCGTCTGGTGAAACTCTGTCATTCTGTTTGTCATTCGCGTGTTTAACCTGTCATTCCGTTTGTCATTCGTCTGTTCTACCTCTGTCATTTAATGTGATGTCATCGTCTGGCGTATCTCTGTCATTCTGTTTGTCATTCGTGTGTCAAACCTCTGTCATTCTGTTTGTCATTCGTCTGGTGAAACTTCGTCATTCTGTTTGTCATTCCTGTGGCGAATCTATGTCATTCACTTTGTCATTCCTGTGGTGAACCTGCCATTCTGATTGTCATTCGTGTGGTGAACCTCTATCATTCTGTTTGTCATTCGTGTCGTGAACCTCTGTCATTCTGTTTGTCATTTGTCTGGTGAACCTCTGTCATTTTGTTTGTCATTCGTGTGGTGAATCTATGTCATTTACTTTGTCATTCGTGTGGTGAACCTGTCATTCTGATTGTCATTCGTGTGGTGAACCTGTCATTCTGTTTGACATTTGTGTGGTGAACCTATGTCATTCTGTCTGTCATTCATCTGGTGTACCTCTGTAATTCTCTGTCATTCGTGTGGTGAACCTTTGTCATTCTGCTTGTCATTCGTCTGATGTACATTTTCTGTCATTCGTGTGTGAAATTGTGCCATTTTGTCATTGCAGAGCTACACCAGACGAATGACAAAGTGAATGACAGAAATCACCAGACGAATGACGTAGCGAATGACAAACTAAATGACATTGGTTCACCAGCCGACTGACGTGAATGACAAGTGGACCACCAGACGAATAACAACAGGGGTTCACCAGTCAAACGACAAAGTGAAAGTCAGGGATTCACCAGGCCGCCTATCAAGGCGAATGACAAAGAGAATGACAGGTTAACAGGACGAATGACAAAGTGAATGGCAGAGCTTCACTAGACGAATGACACGGGTTCACCAAAAGACTGATGAATGACGGGTTAGTTGACCAGACGAATGACAAAGTGACTGCCAGGGATTCACGAGGCCGCCTATCAAGGCCAATGACAAAGAGAATAGGAGGATAACCGGAGGGTTAACAAAGTGAATGACAGAGCTTTACCAGACGAATGACAAAGTGAATAAAAGAAATCATAAGGCGAATGATAGGCAATGACAGGTTAATTGGACGAATGACAGTGAATGACATAATTCCTCGGACGGGCGAATGACAAAGCGAGTGACATAGAGACTGACAGAGCTTTACCAGACGAATGACAAAGTGAATAAAAGAAATCATAAGGCGAATGATAGGCAATGACAGGTTAATTGGACGAATGACAGTGAATGACATAATTCCTCGGACGGGCGAATGACAAAGCGAGTGACATAGAGACTGACACAGGTTCACCAAAGTAAATGACATATTCACTGGACGGATAACAAAGGTAATGACATAATTCACCGGAAGTACAAACGACAAAATATTTGACACAGAGAATGAGGCAGCTTCACTGGACGAATTGGAGATGTTGGTCAGACGAAGGACAAAGTCAATGACAGTGGTTCAGCAGACGATTGACAGAGAATGACACGCGTTCACCAGAGAATGACACGGGTTTATCGGACGAATGTCACAGCTTCACCAGACAAATGACAGAGAATACAATAGATTTGCAATACGAATGACAAAGTGAATGAGAGAATTAACCGGACGGACGAATGAGAAAGTGTGTGACACAGACAATGACACAGGTTCACCAGACAAATGACACAATGAATGAGAGAAATTATCTCAGACGAATGACGGAATGACACAGATTCACTGGGCGAATGACAAAATGTATGTGTTATTACTAGATTGGTTTTACTGGTGGATCGATGGCGGGGGCCACAGTGCCACCACTAATAAAGAAAACATAAGTCCATAGTTATTAAACTCAATAGGCTACTGTAGTTGAATTATATTGGCCTAAAGGGGGCGGTTATTGCTTAGAAATTCCTTGTCATTTGTCATTCGCTTGTCATTCGTCATTCGCTTGTCATTCGTCATGCAAATTAGGGAGGCCCTCGTTTTTCCGAATTGATTTTAATTTAGATCTGAATGGTATGATTAATTTTGTTTTAAAAAAAAGTACAAAAAAGTGTGAGAATTATTTTCATTGATGTCAAAAACATATGACGTCATTGATTAGACGCGTCATAAAAATATTTCTATGCACATTGCCAGTTTTGCCCAGTGTATCCGGTTTCTGTCTGATGTGGTTTACAGTTTTAGTTACGCTCCTGTGTTACCGGAAAAGAGCTTTGTTCAAGCACCACACTTCATGTGATGCTTTAGAGCTTCACTCTATATATATATCATAAGTAACGGTATATAGTTCTTTCTTGAAGATGGCGATGGGAATCTTATGTCGGAATTTGATAAGCAAAACTGTCAATTACATTATCAATAATAACTTGGGTGGCTAAGTGGGTAAGACGCTGGCTAGCTAGTCTGGAGGTCGGTTGTTAGATCCCTGCATTGGTCAAGAAAGTTCATCCAGATTTTCCGGCGTGGTTCCCTCTTGCAGGACAGAGGGCCTGACAAGGACAACCGTCTAGTTGTCTGATTGGGACGAAAAATGGAGTTCCTGTGTACACATTGGCATTCACGTAAAAGATCCCATGACAGTTGGAATTCAATATAAGAGTAAGTCGTAGTGCCGCTGTCCAGGAAAAATTTCCTTCATAGCAAACTGTATGGCATATGCCTGTCTTCATTTGCCCAGTTTGGAGCAGAACAGTAGGACATTAAACCCCATTTCATTTCATTGTAAAGTGTGTACTATTTAATTAGGGATTAACCAATCACTTGATAAGCTACATGTAGTACTCCCCTCCTTTTAAGCCTACAATTGTTTGGATTGCACAATAAGCATTTTAATTGATTAGGATGATTAGTTATTATTTTGATCTGGCTGATGCCATGATCAAAATTGGTATTTTTATCAAATGAATGAGAGCCAGTTGATATTTGGTTTTTTAATGTTTTGTAAAATATATATTTTTTTTAATGTTTTGTAAAATATTTTTTTTTTAATGTTTTGTAAAATATATATTTTTTTAATGTTTTGTAAAATATATTTTTTTGGCATGCCTGCATTTGTTTGGATTACACATTTAGCTTTTTATTTTATTTTTATCAAATGAATGAATGTCAGTTGTTATTTTTTGTTTTTTAATGTTTTGTAAAGTATCTTTTTTTGCAATAATTAAATGTTTTTGCCGTTGTGACTAAAGTTTTGTATGTTTTGACCAAATTATGGCCGTTTTGGCCGACACTGATGCAAAGCATCTCTTTTGAACCAAAGCAAGCCGGCTATGCTTATGCTTAACCTTTTTTAAATGGAAGAGGTTTGACGTCCTAACATCATGAAAGCAGGGTTAAGTACATGTCATGTACAACACCATTATGACGGTACGATTTCCAAGGCATTATAGTCAAAACCTTGACTCTCATACAAATAAACCATTTGGTACTATTTCGTACCTATATCATATCAAACCCCTCGGGTGCCATTTTGAATCACACAGTATGCAACGTTCTAAAACCTAACTACTTTATGGAATCAACGACAAATCTAAACTTGGGCACTCCAACCATTTTTATTTTTGTATCTCAATGCTCTACCCCTGAGTGTTCCAACTTTGGATTTATATTTAGCCTTATACCCCTCTCGCGGGTGTTACATCAACACCCTTGTCTATATACTATCCTTTCATTGTTATGACAAGTAACATTGTTACAAACCAACCCTAGGCATCCTAGTTAGCAAAATTATGGACACTAGCACTTCAATCTAAACGATCAGTATAACCCCGGTAAGCGAGGTAGCCACCCAGCGACCCCGGTAACAAATTCGGAACCCCGCCAATTTGTCAAACCTCTGTACAACCACGGTAAGCGAGCTACCGACCCAAGTAACAAATTCGCAAACCCCACCAAGGGGCCAACCCCGGTAACCCTGCCAATTAGTAACCATGGAAATCCCACCAGGGTTTCGGAATGTTAAAAATAAAAACACCCAACACATGAGTCCAATCAGTCTGAAGAGTTCAATACGAACGAAACTAGTCACTGACATTCGGGATAACCAGGTCTTCATAGCCACCTTATCTCTTATATACTTTTCTATCCCAAAGATCTTGTTTCTTTTCGATATTTGCGCATATCGGACCGTAACTTCCTGGATTATGGCCCCTGATAGTACAAAAAATTGTGTTTAGCTCGTGGAACCTCTAGAGAACACAATCTTTATATGATTTTGATGAAATTTTAAATATATATTTATATCCCAAAGATCTGGGTTCCTGTGGATACTTGTGGATAACGGACTGTAATTTCCTGGATTATGGACCATGATTGTACAAAAAATAGCTTTTTTTTTCAGCTTGTACTCTGTCCATCTCTTGCAAAAATGTGGGCGTATCTTGCATGGAAACAACTTGTTAGCTATGTTCTTGTAGCTAGAGTATCCGATAATTTTATCATTTTGTTTCCATAGATAAATATTAAATATTGAGTACATTGCATTGAGCCAGGAGAAATTAGATATTGTCCCAGCAGCTTTAAACTAGACAGAGCCACAGTGGCTCACTAAGTAAGATGCTGGCTCGCTAACCAGGAGATACTTGATTTGCTCCTGGTTTTGGTCGACAAAGTTCTTCATGATTTTTGATAGCGGGTCTAGCAAGGACAGTGTCTAGTCATGGATGAAAAACTGAGGTGTGGTTACTCCTTGTCAGCTTTGCCGAATAGAGAGTCTGACAACATACTGCATCTAATTTTTCAGATAGGATGCAAAACAAAGGTAAAGTGGACGCGTAAAAGGATCCATGACAGTTGAAATTCAATGAAGAGTAGGCAGGAACAGCAATGTCTTCCATCATAGCGCACTGCATGGCATATGTGCATTGTACCCGTCTTTATTTGTCCATTTAGTACAGAAAAGTAGGACGTTATGCTTCATTTTAATACATGATCGATTTTGATGTTGTGCTTTTATTTTTAGAAAAGAAGAATTAAAAGATGTCAAAGAAACAGAAACAGAAGCCTGTAATTTTTTATTTACAACTACAAAAGAGGACAGTGATTATGATGATAGTAACGGCGAAGATTTAGATAATTCACCAGAATCTGAATCAAATAAAAAGACAACTGAAAAGCTACCAAACCCTCTTTTGGGGGATGTGCAAACGTCTTCGGTGTTCATTAATCCTTTTAAACAAGCAGAATTAGACAAGCAGTCTGTGTTAGAGAAACATGTTCAAATGACAGAGAAACGGAATTTATCCAACAAGAAAGTTTGTTTCAAATTCAAAAAAGGAAAATGTTATAAGGGCAAGAGCTGTCGCTTTTTACACGACATAGACACAGTTAGAGGCACAGTGTATAATTCTAGTGAAGACTCTAGTAATCATATCCCTGGTGCGGCTATGCAAAGGTTTATTGAAGAACCTGTGGATGATGATAATTATCTATTGAATGCAAAACGTAAAAAGAGACATGGTGTTAGTGATCATTTGATTCCTCCGAAGAAGGCTCTGTTGTCATTAGAGGAACAAAGAAGCAAAGAAAGACCTTGGACAATGAAAAAAAAGAAAAATTAGTGGACAGCTTAATTTTTTTTTTTCAAAAGCAATAGTGATGATAGTATAAGGGTATGATTGTAAGCTTACATATTTGTAGCTCAATCAAATATTCGCAAAATGGCATTGGTTCTTGAACAATTGACAAATTGCAAAAACTGTCAGCTCAAGGCTTCTAATTTTTTTATAGTCTTTATTTCTGTCACTTTAATGGATCGTCTAAGGAGGTTCTTCAACAAGTGAGTTCTATCAAACAAAGATTATCTGGTATCCTTTTCGTTCGTTCGTTTCTGGAGTTTTACGTCCACTTCCACCTAAGGTGATATCGTAGACAATCTGGTATCCAGACAGGGAAGCAATTTATAGATCTGGTAAATTGTGAAATGGTGTTGAGTTGAGGTGTAAACGCAGCATACATCTTTTGTGGTTGCTAGAATTTGCCTCTGTGGTTGAATCAAAACTTGATGCTCAAGCATTAAAGGTCACTGGAAAAGCATCATAAATTGTTTAAAAAATGCAAGTAATTATGTCAATATATCCTTTCCATACGTATGACACGAACCCGAATGTCAATATTACCTGCAACAGGTAAATTTCAACGTTAGTAATTTCTGCCGTTCTCCATGAGTAGTCGTAACTTTCCGTCACTAAACAATCTTTAACATTATATTGGTCCTTCTGCTCATAGAAATATAGACTAGAATATGAGCAGAAGGACTAAAATGACGTCACAGATTGTTTATTGACGGAAAGTTACAACTACTCACAGAGAACAGCAGCAATTGCTAACATTGAAATTTATCTGTTGCAGGTAATATTGACATTCGGGTTCGCGTATGGAAAGGATATGTTGACATAATTACTTGCATTTTTTTTTTTTTTAAAAATTGAAGCTTTTCCGGTGACCTTTAAGAATTGGGGTATGACTATGAGTATCATAAGCTTATCCATGTTAAGCTCTGATTCCCTTAATATCCTTGAGAACTCAGTGACGTCAGTCAGTGTCATTCTATAGGATGGTTCACAGAGGTTTACCAGTAAATTTGATCTCATTTATAGCTAAATGACACTAGTTAGATTTTCTTTACTATACATGTAGCAATTGCCATTTGTTTATAGTTTATTCATATTGTTAAATAAGCACAACCTGGAAATACATGTATGTGCAGTCTGAAATATTAATACTTATTTCAACTTGAATCAGCAAAGTAAGACACACTTGGTGGGACGTTATGAGGGTATATATATATCAGAATTATTTATAAACAAAGACCTGTATTCTACATGTTCTATTTGAATCAAGCACTTTCTTAATATTAACAAATAGTAATGGCAAGAGATTTTTTCCCCAATTCTGGAACTGCTTATTTAAAGGGTGTAAAGCTCTAACTCAATATTATCAAGAATTGATGTTGTTATCTTACCCTGATATCCAATATTTAAACATGTCTTAATGCAAGAGCTGCCTATTGTAGGTCTTTCTTCAGGCCTGAAATGTTATATAAATTATCAATTAGACATTAATTAACTTACCAAGACCATAATCAACTCTTGATGCCATATCAAATGGCAGCGATATAATAGATTTAAATACATTTTGTGGTCGATGTGGTTTCCGTAAAATTGGATGATCAAGACTCTGTTTATGATCATAACAACGGTAGTAATGACAATCGAGGCTAGACCATACTAATGTCCAAAATAAAGTATACACTGTGCATTTCTTCCTGCTTCAAACAAAGTCGTTTTCCATTATATGTGGTATTTGGGTACAATGTCCATTTGTTTTGCCTTTTATTTGCTTAGAAATATTGAGTTTGGATGCACGAGACATGTTCAGTGTAGTTTTATAACATTTTTTTTGATTTAAAAAAAACCTAGTCATATTTTTAGTGTGTATACTTTCTTTTGGACATTAGTATATAATTGTATTGCCAATATCGAGGCTCTGGGTGAAATAATTTGACTAAAATTTTCAACATATTCTCTTTTCATTATCTATTTTTTACCTATCAGCCCTTTATATACTCTTACCTAATGCCGCTTTAAGAGTTAAAGACACTGAACAATTTTAACTCTTTAGCCCACAAGCGTCATTTGTAATGAAGTACGACATGTACCTTTAGGAACGAGACTAAATGACAATGTGTAGATGAAATGTCAAACCCTACTGGTACCAACAAAACTGATTAGAAATTACAATAAAACTTTTTAAAAATTGAAGGTTTACATCAGCTCATTACCCCTTTAGCATCCAAAGAATAGAGATATAGCTCCTTTAATAACAAATATATTGGCCATGCTCATATTCTGGTTCAAATGTACATGTAGGCAGATTTATAGTTTGTTTAGTCAATGTTAGATAAAATGCCATGTAATAGTGAGATTGCAAGTTTTCCACTCACATTACCTGCCTGTATTACACTTGTATCAAACAAGGGTTAGCGTTTTAGTTTAGCTGTTTGAAGATATTAGTGGATTGATTCTGAAATCACTCTTTGCATGTACATGTAGGTAGAGATACATTTTATTATTTAGAACATATTAGAGAGTGTTTTTTTTATAGGCTATGTCTGTTGTTGTTTCAGATATCTTAAATAAAATATTGTTAAGAAAATGAATGTGTGCCCACTTTGTAGTCTATATTAAAAAGTTTTATGGTTGTTATTTTGGTGACCAAAATAAGTTTTAAAAAAACCCAAAAAAAACAGCGGCTGCCAGGCAGGATACGCCCATATTTTGAAAGAGATGGATAGAGAACAAGCTAAACAACAAGCGGTTGCCATGCAAGATAAACCCTCATTTTGCAAGAGATGGACAGAGAACAAGCTCAAAAAAAAAAAGTGATTTTTCTTACAATAAAGGGCCATAATTCAGGAAGTTACGATCCAATATGCATGAATATTGAAAAGAAACAAGATCTTTGGGTTATAAACATGTATTTCAAGTTTCATCAAAATATACTGATCAAAATACAGATCTATATTTCATTTCATTTTTTAATACTTTTGATGGCCTACACTACATGAACGGTTGTAGTGGAAGGTCACGTTAGAGGTCATACGAGCGGCTGTTGACCCTATGACAGCAGTTTCATGCACATCATGCCATAATCTAACCGTTTCATTGGCTAATCCCTCGCATCATCCAGAATGTGGGTTATAGGATCTGTGTTTTAATCAGAGCTGTGACCAGTGACCCCTCTTAACTTTACAGAATCTTGTGCATTACAAGTAGGGTTGTTTGTCCAACCATGTGGGTTTCCTCTGGGTCCTCCAGTTTCCTTACACTGCTAATTCGAATTATTGAAATATATTGTACCATGTTAATCCCGAAATGACATAGTTTGTGTCAATTCGACGATTAACCCCATTTCTTTCTCTCACAATCTTATAGAGTTATCACACACCTATAGCTAATTCATCAACATCAAAAAATTACTAACAATTTAACAGTATTGGATTTTATTTCTGTTAAAAATACATATCCAAGTCAGGCCATCTGATAACCATGAACTAGCACCTTATAGATAACTTAACATTACCAGCAATTTATCTAGTATCTAACATTACTAGCAATCTCACCTTATATCTAACATTACTTAGGAGATAAACACTTCCTGTTTCACATTTAGAGGGGTGTTATTGTCCAATAGACATGCCCTGAGATCATTAGGACCCAAGACGCGTTCTAATGTAAAATCTCAGGACATGTCTATTGGACAATAACACCCCTCTAAATGCGAAACAGGAAGTGTTTATCAACATTGTAACATGCTATTTTAGCATTTTAAAAGAAATTACTAAAACGGAGGGGTGTTATTAGCCAATTGACCAATCAAAACGCAAGATTCCCCCTTAAGCATGTTACAATAGCCATTTGACCGTATATCAAACATTACTAGCAATTCCACCTTATATCTAACATTACTGGCAACTCCCCTTATATCTAACAATACTAGCAATTCACCATATATCTAACATTACTAGCAGTTTCTCCTTATATCTAACATTATTGGTCATGTCCACCTCGTATCTACACATTTAACATTACTAGCCATTTCAACTTATATATAACATTACTTACTAGCCATTTCAACTTATATATAACATTACTTACTAGCCATTAACCATATATATAACATTACTAGCCGAATCCAACTCAAACTTCTCTAGTGATCAATAGAAATGACTAGTATTACTGATTGTTGGACTCTCATTTCAGTCATAATTGCCAGTTGTGGCTGGCTGGCTGACTAGAAAACTTAAAATACAATAAATACAATTAAATTTTTATGGCACTTAAATTGACTAAGAGATAAGTTCCCCGGTCAGCCAATTTCACTGCCAGTCAGTTTAGTAGACTGACAAATCTGACTGAAATGTGAGGCTATGTTGGAACTCACATTTGATAGACCCAGCATCCCCTCTTGCCACCAAAAGTAATCTGCCCCATTAAAACCCATGTGTTATTGTTTAGAATTACAGGCTTAAGATAGGTTTCCACTAAATACATCCCTTCACCAATTACTGTATATATAGACACAACTATTTATCTTGTATACAAAAATTAAAAAGGCATAATTATGCACTTGTCATAATTTTTTTCCAAATACAAAAATTAGATCTGATGTTAATTTTCATATAAACAGGAGTACAGTAGAAGTTTTCTAAAATAATTACCCTAAAATACATTTACATGTTATTCTGAAAAATTCTTGATATCATTGGCATTTGACTGATTTTCAGAATCCAACATTACCCATTCTGCCACACACATTCTAATATAAAAATATTTCATACAAATTCCATTCAGTTATTTATTTGTTAATACTGTGTTAATATAATACTTGACATTTAGAATATACAGATATTATTGATACAATATTTTAGAAAATATTAGTACTCTTTGGCTTCCAAATAAAATTCACATTATAGGGTATACTTACACTTCAGTAAAATTATGGTATACTATATTTTCAAACATCACAGAAGTGTCAAGAAAAAAATTACATCACAAAAATAGAACCACCATGTACATGTATGCATTATATGTACGATTATAGGCTGCAGAAAAGTAGGATATTAAACCCGATTTCATTTTGTAATTTGCCTGATTGAAGCCCTTTTCCGCAAGCAATTTGTCCATGTGCATCAGGCTCGGTGTCTGGTTAAAAGAGCAGGTTACTTTCATTTTCAAATCTAACTGGCGAAATTAGTGTCCCGTTAAAGGTGACAATTTTTGAAAGAGTTGATACTTTAAAACCAATTTCATACAATATGGAAATATATCTGTCATTATTATCATATTGTTGTGTGGACCATGAAATCAGTAGTGAAACATTTTTGTACGTAAAAATAAAAATCCAGGATTCCCTTTAACCCAAACAAAATGGCTTTGAACTTCAATTACAGTAATACAAATTTGAGTTAATTTATAAGATATATAAATATATGTATTATCTAATAAAAATATATATAATAATCTGTAAACATATGTATATTTATTTAAGCACAAAAAAGCATTCATCTATATATATACTGCACAAATATTTAAGATAAAAGCAAAACCGCAAATTGCACCAAAAATCACATCAACAAATATAACACACTTTGACCAACAAATCTTTTAATATTGCATCAGCCCTCATTCAATCTCAGCCCATCTTTTGATTACAATTCATGACAGCTATTTAATTTAGGGACCATTGTAAAACTTCCAACACTTGCATCCAAAAGAATAAACTGTGGAACTGGGTGGGTGGGTTGAATGAAATCGCAGACAGAAAATGATAAATTAAATGCTGAATCATTAACGAAAATACATCAACATATTTATACTCTATCGCCACAAATGGGCAGGTGGATTTGATCTATCCACAGGTTATTTGTTGGACGCAAATGTTGACATTTTGCGACAGTTCTAAATTTAGTTTTATTTATTATGGAAGCAAAAGATAAACCACCAGCTACAACTACTACTTTCTATTTATTTGTAAATGAGTTTTGTTATTTGGAAAATTTATAAGATATGTGAGGTTAAGATTATGCATGTAATATAAACATGTTGAGACCATTTGAAATGTAATTAATTTGAAATACATGCATTCTTGTATCCAGTCAATCACAGCTCTTGGTTCGGTGTTAGCAAGTGGAAGAATCTAAGTCAGGATACAAGAATGATATACATGCTAACTATGACTGTCTTTTCAAAAGAAGCCTATTTGGCAAGAAATAAATATGTCTGAATTTGAATCTATAAGGAGATAAACACCTCCTGTTTAGAATTTAGAGGACTGTTATTGTTTATTTAATAGAAGCCAAGATTTAATATAATGCAAGCGTTATTTTCTTGGTTTACAGTATGATATATCAGCGGTAATCCCTAATCACCGGAGCTAATCAGAACGAAGAAAAGTTGATCTGAAAACATTAAATAAACCATACAGATATAAAATGACATTACATAATAACTTTATCTACACCTTAAACATCAGCTGCCTTGTGGGCCACAGTCGGTACTGAAGCAGTACACACACTGTACATAAAATAATCAACATCAATATATATACGTAACATATAAAGCAGATCTATATTTCACCTGTACTGGATCCCGTTTCATGGTATTATATATAAATTACATGTACTGATAAGTTCTACTGTTCTTCATGATATATGCAGAGCTGAGGTGCTGGGGTCTACCCCCCCCCTCCCCCAAAGTCACCTCTTTTTCTTGGTTTATCCCTGCTTTCCAATATTCCTGTATGTTAAGTCTGTAAGTTCAAGAGCAGTCCCAGATTGCAATTACTAGATTTACTTACTGGAGTAAGTATCTACAGTAGGAATGGTCTTGATAATAGTGACAACCATTTACTAATAAAACTTTGACAAGTACGATTTGGTTATCCAGGCATTCATTATCAAGCAAACCACACACTGGTTACTCGAAAAGTATCAGAGTGATTCACAACACTAAGATAATCATTTCTAAGAGTTTTTCACACTGAATTAACCCACTTTATTCACAAAAATATATCTCAGGATATATTTTTTTAAATTAGAGCCCTTTTTTGGGAATTAGTATAATTTTCAGACATTACATGATAAATTTTAGCCAAACTGTGCATCACTCTCATTAATATATTACAGTCCCAGACACCTCTGTATATGTTCGGTAGACTTACAAGCAGATGTAATTTATATACACGACATAAGATTGGACCCTGACAATTAACATATATGTAACACAATTCACTACATAAATATTACAAGTAAGTATTCATATCAGATACTGGCAATTTTCATTGGTCAAGTTCCAGTAGTCCCAGGGTGAATAACTATGGAAATGATGTAATTCCAAGACACCAGGCTTTCCATATACTGGTAATAAACATTTCATTGAAATTCTAATAACAGTTTGAAAATATGGTTTTAATTTTCGGATTTACCTTCTCTAATGCTTTTTGTTTATAAAATGACAACATTGACATATTTATTAAGTTATTTTCAAGAGCTGAATTTTGTCAAAATTTTCTATATTTTGCAAATTTTCCTATTTCTATGGTAAATGCACAAAATGTAAAACATTGCCTGGAACAGCTGGGACTTGACCAATATTTACATGTATTTTGTAAAGGCAAATAGAACAAGAAAGAAAGTAATTTCACTACTAATCTTAATTGGTACCGAAAATACAAAATAGATGCACTTCTTAAGAATTATTAATATCAAAAATTATAGACTGTGTACCCACCTGTCTAGTTAATGTATAGACTAACACTAGAAATATTGTTTTATCTTAAATAAAATTTTTGTTGAGACATTATGTAAGATAAAGCAATATTTATGCGAGGCTACACATTACCTAGACACCCACGGGTACAACGTACATCCACCTCAGTACACAGCCTATTATTAATAAGTACTGGAAATTACTTTATCCACAAACATTTTAAAATAATTTTCATGAGTTATTTGAAATATAATACAGGACCTGAATCAACATTGAATGAATATGAAAAAAAAAAAATAAGAAGGCACAAAATTTTTGATATTTTGTAACAGTATTTTCAATTATTCTGTCATTCTTGAATAAATTCTTGGTTTAACAATAATTCTCTCTTTCATGAAACTTCTAAAATATCAAATCACATTGTTTCTATTTTTAATATTCTTGAAAAGATGGTATTTTGTAACAGTATTTTCAATTATTCTGTCATTCTTGAATAAATTCTTGGTTTAACAATAATTCTCTCTTTCATGAAACTTCTAAAATATCAAATTACATTGTTTCTATCTTTAATATTCTTGAAAAGATGGTAGCTACATGTATATTATGTTGTTATATAGAAAGTAAAATGTTATTCTATATTATTTTGCCATCGGTAATCGTAAAAATACCTTGTGCAAAAATTCCTTCGATTCCTTGTAATTGCATCATTTTCATTGTAAAGAAGTTAAAAATCTATGAAGTTAATATCTATAAAAATTATGTAAATCTGTTAGGCTTCATTTTCTCATCTTCTCGTTAACAACTAGAAATCACATGGCTGGAATAATTTACAGATTGCCTCGATCAGCTTGGTCTGCTTCTATAGCTTCAAACAGAGATTTAAAATTCCCAGCACCAAATCCCTGAAAAATAACCAAATCATGTAAAACTAAAAGAAGCAGCGTTAGTTGTGATCTTCCCGTCTAACATTTTATCAAGGATTTTACAGAACAGACAGAATGTAGTGAAAGCAACAAACACAAACATTTACCAATCAGACAGAAATCTTAGGTCCTATGTACACATTGACGTGCACCCAGAAGAACCCTTGATAGTTGGAATTCAATATAAGAGTAAGTCGTAGTGGATCAGAAAACACTCTAATCCAGGTATCATTTAATCTTGTGTATCTAGCACTAATTTCTTTCACATTCGTTTAATATCCAATCTTTGTTTAAAAATTCATAAAAACTGTTTAAAATCACCATAAATCATTTAATTTGTACTTCTGTCCAGTTTAAAGCTGACCATTTAATTTTGATAATGAGTGTCCAATTTACAAGTGTTTAATTTCTCAATCACTGTTAAAAAATAAACAACCCAATTGATTAATGATGTATAATGATTAAATTTTGAACAGTAGTCAGGAAATTAAATACTTGTAAATTGAACACTCATTATCAAAATTAATCAGTCAGCTTTAAACTGAACACAAGTACAAATTAGATAATTTTGGGTGAATTTAAACGATTTTTACAAATTTTTAAACAAAGATTTAATATTAAACGAATGTGAAAGAAATTAGCGCTAGATACACAAGATTAAATGATACCTGGGTTACAGTGAAAGCAGGATGTTAAACTCTATTTCATTTTGAATTCAATGAAAACCCACCGGTGCGTTTCATTGATTACATACAATTCAATTGTCATTCCATAATCGCAAGAACCAACCTAGATTGCTCCATAACACAGAATTGCAATGATTATTACCTGATGGTTGTTCCTCTGTATGACTTCCAGGAATAAAGTTGGTCGATCTTGCATAGGTTTAGTAAATATTTGTAGTAAATAACCATTATCATCAAAATCCACTAGTATATGAAGTCTTTGTATCTGTATCATATCAAAGGAATGTATATTAATACAATTCACCTAATTCCTAGTTCTCACATAACATTTGAACCCAATAAGTTTGCCAAGTTGTTTGGATGGGATGGAAACCGAGGTTCTGTGTAAACATTGGCATGCACGTAAAAGAACCCTTGACAATTGGAATTTGAAATAAGGATAGGCTGTAGCCCCTTTAATAAATTAATTAGAGTAAAACATGGCAGTCTTTATTCTCACCTCATCAAGATTTTCCTTGACTTCTACTTTTGAATTCTTTAATTGATTTCGTAGATTTTTATAATAAGTGGCAGGAATTTCCAGAAATTTCATTCCTCTAGCTTTAAGATTGATTATCTGAAGTAAAAGATTCAAATATATTATTAATATTTATTATCGAAAGGAATAATATAATTGGACTAGAAAGAGAGAGGGTTTTAACAGCCACTTGACACAAACTAGGTCATTTCGGTATTAACATATACTTAAATTTTACTTAAATAATTCACTTGCACTTGGGCATCTGTAGCAGTGGAAAGAACTGAGGGACCCAAAGAAAACCCACAAGGTTGGACAGGTGACCCTACTCCTTGTCATGTACAACCAGGGAATCGAAACCATGCCAGTTGACTCAATGACAGACCTTACGATCTAAAACACACACTTTAGTAAAGTACTAAAATAAAAAGTCATTCAGAAAAAAATAATAAATTTGCACGAGAAAATTACTAAAAAAACAATACTGAGAATTGAATAAATGAGATTGAATTAAAATAGGTGTAAATGCGCGATAAACAATTTTTCACACACACACACACCCGGTCCTTTCATCACACTCTTTGAAATGCAAATAACCTTATTTCTACTCAATACAACTTCGATAAAACTTGAAATAGATGTATTCATCATCAAAGTCACGTATATAAGTGCAAACATCAGTGCAATCAATGTATAGTTAAGGCCTGATGCATAGATCAATGAAAATACAATTTATCATAACTGAATTGAACCATTTTTGGACTGATATTCCCATTAAAGATTAAACTTTCACAAAATTGTAGTTTGCAAGGGATTCCTATAGCACTAAATGATGCATCAAGTCTTTATAATTAGCATACTGGAATGTCTTTGGACAAATACAATAAATGTACTTCTATTACCAATCTATCAACTATTACTAACACTCTACCCAAACATCAATGTCATCTGCACATACCGTAATCTGATTGGATTATCAAACCTGAATGTCATCTGCAGATATATGTTATTAACGGACCGCATCCTGATAGGTTTATCATTTTGAAATGCAATAACTATATTTTTAGTGATTCAGATTCAACTAGAAATAAACTTTTATATCCATCTCTCATATATATTTGAACTTATTTAATTAATCTATTACAGTTAGATTGGTCGTTTTAAACTTACAGATGTTATTATGTCGTTGGTTCTCATGGCGATATGCTGGACACCTGCACCACCATTATAATCACAGTATTCCTGAATAGATAAAATATCATTATCTAATATAGTTTTAAACATACATTATGCAAGAACCAAATCTGCCTATTGCAGATCTTTCGTTAGGCCTGAAATGTTATCTGAATTATTAATTAGACATTAATTAACTTATCCAGACCATATTCATCTCTCGATGCCATCGCTAGCCTGCGATATTAAGCGGATTGGAATACATTTTTTTTAAAAATAATTAAATCAATAAATGGATAATCGAGGCTTTGTATTTTATAGTACTGACTTTAGTAATGATGATCGAGGCTAGACTAAAATTCAAAAGCTAATATCTTGATACAAAGTGCAGCAATTTGACTGAAATTTTCAAAATATTCTATTTACGTTATCTATTTTTTAACTATTATAGCGAGAAGTGACAACTCTTTATCTAATCTCCCATAATGCCTCTTTAAGCTAGTTTTAATAGAAACAAGAGGCAAAAGGGCCATAATCATCCATAAGTTCAGCAAATGCATTGCATATGTATTAAGAAATTTTTATCATTGTTTATTACTATTTGAAGGCACCACTACATACATAAGCTATACCTCACCATATGCATAAGCAACACAAATTTGTTAGGTCAAAGCCTGCCAGTGTTGTGAACAATGTTTTGTTTACAATTTGAACTAAAAGCTTTAGAGGTCAGCAACCAAGTATTCTTTGTTGTAAAATCTTAAACCCAACCCTCCCTCCTCCCCGCCCCCCCCCCCCCCAAAAAAAGATAGGAGACAAATAGGTGTCTCAAAGAACAAAATTCAAATTAGTGTGGTTTTTGATGTGTGAATTTCTTCTACCTGAATTTGACTCTTTCTCTTTCCATTAGCTGGTTCATTAATTGGCAATTTAATTGTTTCTTCATAGTTAGTGACAACAATAGATCTAAGAGAAGAAAATTCTGTGTGTATCTGACTATCATCAACCGACCAGAATCTATGAAACATTAAATTCTTCTCATACCTGTCAAAAAAAAAATGAATATAGTTAACATTAGACTGGTGTAAGTTTAAATTTTAACGAGATATTACGGACTGAGCTCTATAAGCTTATTTGTTTGGCTTATTATTAAACCTATTTATAGTCCAAGAAGTGAAATAAATCGACTGAACTACTGTCCAAAATGGGTTGAAATGCATTGTAGATACACTAAATCTCCATTACAATTGATGTTCTATATATCATATCATATGTATACCAACTTTAGGCAACACAAATAAAATAACTTGTTTCTCGGGCACCGCCCGCACGCAAAATTGGTTGCGCGTGCAGTCTATTTATTAGTCTTGATGAAAAAAAAATAAATATGTAACGCCCGCCCGCACATCGACAAGCAAGTCGTAAAAAAAATATCCCGCATGTACCTACATCCGCCATACATGTATATCTATTCAAATGTATTAAAACTGATTCAGATGAACATGCTGTCTTTTTTATCCGAACAATGGCGAAGTTTGGCAGATTTGCCTTTTTTATTGATATCGAAAGAACCTCCATTTTGTATCACGTGATATTAATTACCTCCCCTGATAAACTAGAATTTGATTCGTGTTAAAAGTCATTGGCGACAATATTTCAATCATTCGATCGTAATCGGCTCATTATTGCCGGCTTCAGTCGGTCCTTGTTTGGAAAATCCTATTGATAAAATAATGAACCGTAGAACAGGTTAATTAATTATAGCTAAGAATACGATACGATGACGATAGTCGTCATAATGCATACCTTAGAATCTGGGTCATTATTAGCACATTTACGGTAGTTTCGATAATCCGGAAAATAATAATTGGATTACCGATTTGATGGTTTTACTGACCAGTTGTTAGTTAGATTTAAATAGTCATTCAATATAAACACCGGATAGAACACCGAATATCCTGAGAAACACACCGAATATCCCAAAAACAGTATTTCCGGCAATCTCCAATACCGATGACACGGTGTGACATGCATTGGTTGGAATTCGGTAAATAATTATAAATAAACCGGCGATACTAGATTTAGTTTTAAATACTGCTTACCATGATTATTATTTTTGATACACCTGGTGAAAGAGGCTTAGTTTTTAAAAATATTGTTGTCTTTATGGAGGGCTATTACATAGTCGTATGGAATTTTATTTTAAACCAATTTCAATTATGTGAATTAAATATGGAAAATTATTTTCCTTTCAGTCAGTGTTCAGTCTCAGTGTTTTAGTAGACTTGATTTTGGGTTTATGTTTTAAGTATGTACAATAAAGTTGAATATAACGGAAAGCAAAAACGTAAACAAGTAATGACTTTCTCATTTAAAAAAAAAAAAAAGAAAGACCGCCCTCCCGCCCCAACAATTTTCAGCAATAGCCAAATTTTATTTTGCACCATCAATGAGTAAAAAAAAAAAAGAAACCGCCCTCCCTCCCTACAGTTTCAGCTGTCAGTTGCCCGAGAAACAAGACATTTATTTTGTGTGGCCTTAGTAATGATGATCGCGGCTAGGCTGAAAATTCAATCGATAAAATCTTGATTCAGAATGGACCAATTTGACTGAAATTTTCAGCAAATTGTCTTTACATTATCTAGTTTTTAACTATTATAGTGAGAACTGCCAGCTCTTTATCTAATCTCCCATAATGTATTTTTAAGCATTCACAGTATTAGCAATATGCATACAAATTGAATCTCAGAAATATCATTTGTGTTCAATATTTACAAAGATAATTATGATGATATAAACAAGCCAGTGCCACATTTCAATGTGGGCGTATAAAAATGGTAACTTACCATTCCACAGCACTAACCAGAGCATCATTAGGCTGATTCCCTACCAGATGATCTATAGCTTGTAGTCCAATCTCTGGTCTGTAAGTATAGTAATACAATATTAACAATTAATATACAATTTGAGAAAGATATGATCTCATACATGGTTCATTTGAGACTAACAATATGGCCTGGCCTAGCAGCAAAGCTGTCCATGCTAAATCTAAAATCATTGTCAATAAATCTCACAGGACAAGTTTTAAAAGAAACGAAATGAAATGGGGTTTAACGTTCTACTGATTGGGCTAATGAAGACAGGCATACGTCATACAGTGTGTTGTGCGCAGAGCGGCACTACAGCCTACACTTATTTCATATTCCAACTGTCCAGGGTCCAGAGTTCATTATTTTTTTGTCCAATCGGATTGATAAGACACTGTTCCTTGTCCGGTCCCCCGTCTTGCAGCACTGATACAATGCGACCATCTCGGAAAATCCTGAGGAATATTCTCAGCTAAAACCGGGAGCGAACCCGAAACCTCAAGGCTAGCGTTGTTGCAGAGAAGAAGTGGCTGCTTGAATAGACTCTACTGTATATTAGTAAAACTTACAGTTTAGTTAATAACGGATCTTTATCTTGTAAAATTTTAAAACCAGGTAGAAACACTCCTTTATAATTTGATCTATCAACAAATGTGTGAGTTGTATCACCATAAGTTTTAATGGTTGCCATGCGAACAGTTCCATTTTCATCGGTTTCTTCATATGGTTCATTTACTACAACAGCACCCCTCTCTACAGCTCTCTACAAAATAAAGTCTGAAAATTACTTAAAAGAAATGGAACAGTGAGAATGAAGTTTCCTGCCTAAATACAGAAATAAATAGATGACAGTCATCAATTACTACTCGCACATATAAATCATTGAGAAATCAAATTGCCCATAACTCGGCCTAACACTAGCAGAAAGTGCTCATCAGTGAACTCGGTCCAGACATTCACCTAATGACACATATACACCCAGTTTGAAAATTCTACCTCTATTAGTAGTAGATTTATTGTGTTCCAAAAGGTGTGACAGACAACCTCATTATAATAATCCCCTGCTTTCTCTGAAAGGCAGAAGACAATAAAGTATACTTCAAATTAAGGCCTCAGCTATTACATCTAACAGTTGGTCTCACTTTAGAATTCATATAAACCCAAGAAGATAAATCTATTAATAATGTGTGGTTTTCATTATTACAATGCACGGTACTTATTCTTCCAACCAGATTTCATGTTCATCTAGTTTACCTTAAAGATGGCATCTAAATCAACAACTTCAAAAGCGACATCTTTAGCTGCATCACCATGTTTCAGCAGGTGTTGTCCAAAATCTGTATTAGTAAATATAAATAAAACATGAAAATAATAAATGTTATATCTATCTTCACATTTCCATAGAAAACAGTTCCCACAAGTTTGAAACAAATGGTTCACAACTGACCTACAGTGCATTAAAAACATTCTTGATTGTGGTTAAAATAACATATTAGATTAGATTGATAGCAGGTGTTAATTTCATGGGGCAAGCTCTATATGATTAAATTTTTGTTTAGAAAGATAACGCAGATGTCAGTTTGTTTACTACTAACTTTTGTTTCATTTTTGGCTTATCGATGAACACAAAATTGGTAATATGTAAATAGTGACTTTATCTACAGACATAAAATTTCTATGGTATTCCATAAAAAATATTGACGTACATGAAGTAAAAAATTCACCATCCATACTGTAATCAACACATTGAAAATGAAGCAATGAACTGGACTAATTAAGACGTGCATATGCTGTACCATACAGTGTGCATTGTGGGTAATTTTGCTCGGATAGCGGCACTATGGCCTACTCTTATTTCAAATTTCGAATAGTCATGGTTTGATTTATGTACAGATCAAAGTGTAAACGGGACCTTGGTAATCATGTCATCCAAATGCCTAGATGCTTGTAGGGGTCTTTAGCAGTGGGAGGAAACCAGAGGACCTGGAAATCAAACACCAGGTTGGACAGGTGTCTATACCCCTTGTCATGTACAAGAGGGGAATCGAAACCACGCCACTTGACTCAATGACAGACCTTATGATCTAACGTGCATTAACCATTCTGCCACCCACCCCACCCCTCGAATTGTACACATACATAACCATAGAAATGAAAATTACCCGGTTTGTCTCAAAAGGACCAAATTGTGATAACGAGACATTAAACCCCATTCCATTCCTAACAAAAGATTTTATTTAAAAAAATCGATATAAAAACAAACCTTCTGGTTGAAAAGGTTCCAACATGCTCGCAAATACATAGATAATCTATGAAAAATACAAAATACAAAATCATAAATAAGAATAAGCATTTATTACTATCTGGGAGGATTGTAAGATAGTTATTTATATGAGCATCAACATTTTCAATAATAGAGTTTATATACTATTGAAATTTACTATAAAAAGATAGTACTAAAAAAAGATATATATAAATAATATATAATATATGTACAAAACAGGTAAGGAAATTGCCATATATCTACCTGTTGAGCAAATAAATGCCATAGTAACTGGCAACAGTAATAATTTATTCTAATCTTTTTGTAATTATTACACTCCATCAGAATTTGATTAGGAGCAACAGAAAGAGTAACATATGTTTAGTTATTTATTACATAATTACCTTGTTTTGTCTGACAACATGTGCTGCTATTTTACGACTACCTGTTTCAAGACCTTTATATGCCAGTGATTCAAATCCCATACGAGTGCAGTAATAAGATGCTGCCTGCAAAACACAATTATTATCAATTTTAAATTAAACATATTATTTTTTTTTTAAACAACATAGAAATGGGTTTCAATTAAGTAAACCAGCGCTTTATAGTTTCGTAAAAAAAATTTTTTTTAAACTAAACAAGTCATTTTTTTTAACAACATGGAAATGGGTTTCAATAATGTAAACCAGCCCTTTATCATTTTGGAAAAAAGAAAATCTCTGAACAATTTCAGTAAATTAAATATACATTATGTAAAATTTAGATAAAGAGCTAGTCTTTCTTGCTATAATAGTTCAAAGGTAAATAATGAAAAATGAACATGTTGAAAATTTCAGTCAAATTATTTTATTCTGGGTGTTAGAAGTCTTGACTAGATAGTCTCATTGTCAAGTACAATTGCTACGATAATAAACAACATCTTGATTATCCATTTTATTGTTAAATTATTAAACAACGAAGGTGTTTTAATCCCTTCAATATCTAAGCCATCTGATGACCCAGAGAATTGATTATGAGCTTGCTTTTTTTGATTTGGGTGAATTCATCACCAAAAATATAAATGTAATTTATTTTGAATAACATCATATAGAGCAAGGTAGTTTGCTTGAGCATTCCCATCCTTAGTATTTCGAGAATTTTGAGAAATATTTATTCTGTTCCATTTATTAAAATTGCAAATGTTTATTTTAGTCTTTGTGTACAAATGTATATCAAATATGTTCAACGGAACAGACCCGCATTATAACAGAATAGTATGCTAATTTTTGAATATGGTGGCAGAGATATATTCTCATCATGTAGTTCTCTGTGTGCAGAATGATATATACTTTGGCTATTCATACAGTATGTTACCCTTCACGGTACAGGGATTATGGACTAATTATGCATATATGAACCATTAAATATAACTGACACAGTAATTGCTGACAGTTAAGAGAGAATAAACCAAGGTTACTCATGTATGTCAGTCATTCATTATGTTATTATATGAGTCTATCAGCACAAGCATAAATCTAATAACAATGTCTGTTTTGATTTACAACATTCCGAACCCCCCCAAAAAATTTAGGCTACATATAAGGTATCAACATTTCATATCACTGATCCAGTTCTAAACCAGTGGGTCACAAATGTTGGGTGGGAGAAATATGATACATGTATCTAATGCCAATTATAATTTGTTCAGATATTTCAAATGCCAGTGATTATTAAATAATTCCACAGGCATACAGGATAGATGGTCAATCATGTAGGTAGTTCACTATACCGGTACATGTAAGAGCATTCAATTAATCAGATTTAAAGGAGCTAAATCGCTAACATTTGGGACCTAGAAATTGACAAAAGTGGGTCGCAATGCATATAATACTGTAATATGAATGTATATAAACTGATTTACATTCAATGGTTTCCGTTTTTACTCCAATTTCAAATCAGTTATGTTCGGCGAAATAAGCCAGCAGTCTCAAGTGAGTGCAAATTTCTAGCGTCTGGTTATTCCAGTCTACATACACCGTTTGATTTGGTGCAATGTGTCTAACCTCGTCCCTCGAGTCTCTTGATACAACTGGGGCTGAAGCGCATTATGGTACACAATTCGTGTACCAATGGTAAAATGTTTATTTTGTCTTAAATATTGGATATCAAAAGCCCATCTTTTTCCGGTAAGATCACAACATCAATGTTGATTTAAACCGACAAATAAATCGTGTTTTCAATGTTGAAGATTTTGGATGATATAGAGTTAGAGACTTAGCTACTTTAAGTATCCATGTTAGTTTGATCAAACCAGACCCATACTAACTGGACCATACAAAAGTTATTCTGTCTATCTACAATTAGTTCCGCTTAAGAACAGGCACATACGAAGCCAAATGACAGACATTTTAATTTCTAGATCAACAATTTTATCGAAAAAACACTAAGTATATGTACTTGGAGAATTTTGGGAGAAGTATTTATTTAATAAAATAAAAACTATTTATTTCATCTTTGTTTGCATGGAAAAGTAAAACAGTTTTAAACCACCTTACAAAATAGTATACTAATTTTTGATATGGTGGCCATTTAGGACAGAGGTCTATTCTCAAAGTAGGTAGTTGTCTGTTGGTTAAAATTTTCAGTTATTTGATTTTTTTCATTTATCTGATATAGTTTTTGACCCACTTTCTGCACTTAAATGCATGCTTATAATCAAGTCAACAGAAATATTCAAAAAAACAAGATGGATTAAGGCTGAGGTGAGTACAAGGTTGTATGCACCTTGATTAAAAATAATTCAAAAAATAAATCTTATAAAATTGTCAATTATGAAATCTCGCACATGTTTAATAAACTAAACAAAGTCTGCCATTTCTTACATAACAACACACTGTCAAAAAGCTATGAACTGTTGAATTTCAGCATCTGTTTTATCTTTATAATCTTTATTAAGATAAACATGGAATAAACACTACAAAAAATCGACATGTACATACATAAATCTTGATGTTATAGATTATTATTATTCCTTATCTGAAGATAATAAACATGTAATCCTATTACTGAACATAATTATCTAGGTCAGCTTTACTATAATATATTAACCCAAAATATTGACATTGACATTTTTCTCAATGATACAGTAAAAAACAAGGAAACTGAATCAGAGATCTATAGCCAAATGCTTAACACATTGTCTATCAATCTTAATAAAGAGGTGTTGGAGGCAAACACAATATACACCAAGGGCCACATAAAAAAAATAATTTGATTTTCCATCAGGAATTCTGTAAAAATAAAAATTACTCTGCATCAAATTTAATTTTTTTTCAGTAAAAATATTGCAATTTTTTCTAAATTACTGTGAAGTAAAAACAAAAGACCTGTGTTATGTAATTTTTCATAAAACCATTGTAACACCATAGCCTTAAACATACTAGGATTAAAATGGTATGGGATGCGTATACCTAGTTTGTACCTTGGGTATATCTCAGATCCTAAATTTCAAACTATGTTATGAAAAAAATTTCATTCCAGTTAAGAAATAAGCTCAATTGCTCGAAATCTGCTTATTTTTTCAGAATTTAGGAAAATTAATATTAATTACCGGTACTTGTGTTTACAATACATGACTGCTTTTAAAATAAAAAAGTGACAAAGGGATTTCATAATAATATTCTGTCTATATAAGTTGAAAAAAATGGGATCTGGTGACAAATTCTCAAAAAACTGTATTTTCTCAAATTTATGTAGGCCCAAGATCTAGAAATTAAATGATTATGAATTTTGACGAAAAAAAATCAGAAATAAGCCACAAATATCATTACACTATGTCTATACAGGCAAAAATGGCTGTAACCTAACAGAAAAATGTTAATCATAATCGACAAAGATTAGAAACATGTAACTAATTTTAAAAGGCCTTAGCTTAGGCCTAATTATCAGTCTCATAATATATGATATTAAGTTAGCTTTCGAATTAGAAGTGTCATCAGGTTTAATTTAATGAGTCCAATTTATAACAAAATGTAAAGATCATCAATATTGACATTATGTAAAAACACAGCTATACAGAATTCATTATTAAATAAAAAATATACATACCTGTTTGGCATTACCAACCCAAAAGGTAACATGATCAAAGGAAACAAATCTACCGGACTCCGGCTGCAAATAAACAACAGTGCATCGATTAAAACTAGTAAACACACGTGCAACACGGTCAAGGTCAGCGATAAAGTCAACATAAACAAGCTTCGATATTTTGTACACAACTCTATCATCAAAAACAAAATGTCACCTACCTTGGGTCCTTTATCTGTGTACGTAGTCTGAAATAGAAATGAATCCAAGTGTTTATTTTAGAAAATTTGAATCAAATCACGGTGAAATTCGTAAAACTGAAGACCAAATATGAAAACTTACCATTTTCTCAGAAGGTTTGCCACAAATACACTTCTCGATTATTGAGTCTATTTTATAACCAAGGAATACTATTGGTTCACACCGCCAACATTTTGACTAATCGTCTTTTCGTATTACGATCACGCCTCCAGCATTATCCAATGAATGCCAAGATAAGATACACTCTCCTATTTGAAAGGTTAATGTCAAAGGTCAAAACGAGACACTACATTAATTATTTACTTTGAAAACGATGACAGCGAGTTGCACACACATTTACAAAAAAATCAACCAACAACATGGTATTAAATCTTTATGTGGAGCTACCCACCATCTCATTTTTTGGGCATACGAGTAGAGTGGGGAAAAATTAATGCATTACTTAATTGGGAAAACAAATTTTGCGTTCTATTAGTCGGCATAACAAATTTTAAGTGTCCGAAACATTAATTAAAAATTACGTCCTTTTAATTGAATGCGGCGAATTTGTACTGAATTGACTACAAATTACAACATTTTTCTAGCATCGATCATTATTTTGTTTTACCAATTTTTCGGGGATCGCAATAACATTGAAAATCTGTGTAATTTTAAACAGCAACACCACTCGTTACCCAGCTTTATTTGAGGCTTTTAATTAACATATCATAAAAACTTCATACATCAAAAATAGAACTCTGCACAGTGAGATTTTTTTCGAGCATCATCATTATTTATCAGGGTCGTACATTATAGATGCAATAGTTGTAGCCGTGATAGTTGTAGTTGTGGCTGGAGCATGACGGAGACAATCCAGTAGTGGAACCATTTCTAGGGCGTGCATATAGATTATGTTTGGGCGGCAGGGTGGGGTGTGTGTGTTGGGGGGGGGGGGGGTGCAAAAATAAAACCGACGGATGCACAGGGACCTGTTTCACGAAATTTTAACAGAGATAATTTTAATCCAAATTTTAGTAATTTGATTGGGTATAATTAGATTGATTTTAGTGCTAATTAGCCAATCAATATTGAAGTATCTACTAAAATTTTGACTTTTTCTTCAGTTAAGATTTCGAGAAACAGGGTCCAGGTCCATAATACGAGTGAGGCGACCACGAGCCAAGAACCACAGGCGCTAGCTCCTGGGTTCGGGGCAGGATTTTGCAGAATTCTGATGGCCAGAAAACACTTATAGCATGAGTAAAATTAGTTCAGCTCTGAACGTAGGTCTCGTTACACTCGGAAAATTTTGAAAAATGAACCCCAAATATGCAATTTGGTGGCATATCTGATTATAATCCCTGTCAAATAATATATCTCATAAATCGATTAATTTAGGCCAAAATCCCGACCTGCAAGTAATTTACAACCATCAACCTGTGAAATTATCATATCGTCATATTATTAATTAACGTATTATCATTGTATCGCCAAGAGTCAAGAGAATTTAACCGGTTAAAAAATGGAACTAGTTGAGAAAATTTTGACCATTTGATTAACCAGTTAGGAATATTGAGTAAGTAGGAATGTTTTCATTGAAAAATGTCCCATTTTTGTTGCCGGTAGCGCTAGTTGATTCCTCCGGCCCACATCCAGCACATCCGGCCCAGAAAGTCTATTATACCAGCCCATTCCAGATTCCAGTGATGGCGTGGCGGCCCGTTAAAGCCACCGGCCACATACAACATGATCATTATCGCTCCATCGCCGGTCCAATACCCCCCACCCACCCCATATAATGTTCAGCAAAAAAAGTTTTTTTTAGACGAATTGGACAAAATTATTTTCATTTTTTGTCCGACCGGCCCTTCGGGTCGCCCGATGGCCAAATCCGCCCCTGCCCCCCCCCCCTTAACATTTACGCGTTATATATTTCAAAAGTTTTTCGGGAAGTTCAACTGTCGATAAAGACTTGGATTTCGATTGCAAAATCACAAAACATAAGGCTTTTTTGGATCCATTTCTAGTTGTTGTTCTCACGGACTGGAATAGCTGGAAAAAACGATTGCGGCAGTAGGCCTATAATTTTCCTAATTCTGTCGGTGAAGCCCCCTTACCTCTCGTCATGGATAATTTTGTCGCCATTTCATTTAGATAGATAGGATATAGATACGATAGATAGATAGTCTAAGAATGGTTTGTGAACACGAGGCCAGCCTGTTGTTGATTCTTGTCAGACGATTCCAAATATTTGTAGGATGGGGAGAAAATTTGTTTGCTTTCAATTGCAGGGGTGGGTCAGTGATGCAGGACGGAGGGCCTGACAAGGACAACTGTCTAGTCGTTCGGATGGGACAAAAAACCGAGGTCCCGTGTACACATTGGCGTGAACATAAAAGATCCCTTGACAGTTGGAATTAGATATAAGAGTAGGCCACAGTAACGCTGTCCAGGCAAAATATCCCCCATAGCACACTGTATGGCGTATGCCCGTCTTCATTAGCCCAGTTCGGAGCAGAACAGTAGGTATTTGTCGCTAAAATATCAAATTTCTCCCGACTCAACCCACGCTAATGTGTACTTAGATTGATTATTTAACATTTCAAGATACATTATGGAATATCAGATAACGAGTTGGCAGTTGTTAAAAAAAATCTAGATAATGTAAAGGCAATTTGCTGAAAATTTCATTCAAATTGATCCACTATGAACTAAGAATTAAGCCTTTGAAATTTCCGCCCAGCCTCGATCATCATTACCAAAGTCGGTACGACAAAAATCATAGTCTCGATTATCCATTTAATCATTAAATCGTGAAGGAAAGTTATGCATTAAATCGGATCATAATCCATCACAGATCGCAGGCTAGCGATGCCATCAAGAGTTGATTATGATCTGGATGAGTTAATTAATATCTAATTAATAATTTAGATAACATTTCAGGCCTAAAGAAAGACCTGCAATAGGCAGATTTAGCTCCTGCATAATGTATGTTTAATCAAGAAAGAAAAATCAAATTAACAAAGTTAAATAATATCTTGGCTTGGATTCAATCGGATTTAAAACAGGCCTATATCATTAAATTTTCGTGGACAACAAAATGGCAGCGGCCTTATTGCATAATACTACAGCGAGCAGCACAGATCAATAAAATTTCAATTCCAAATATTATCTTTATAAAATACTGAATGGAACTTGACCATTGGGCTGATATTCCTAGTATTAGAGATTATATTGTATATTTAGCAAGTGATAGTGATACCTATTGCTTAAAATGGCGCATTCATTCGCGGGAACAAGATTCTTTTTAATGCATGTAACTTAGTAATATTGAGTGTCACTACTTTCCATATATTAATATTCCATACTTTTACTGGAAATAACTGCCCTTTTATATATGTTTTAGTGAGAATATAATCTATATCTTTAATGTTACTCAAAATAATTCTTGTAAAATTCAGCTTGTCCTGGGTATTGGAAATGTGGGTCCAGTCATGTAGATAACTGTATTCGGGTAATAATATGCTTCGGCGTACACTAATAATAATAATAATAATAATAAGTTCTTTATTTTCAAAAGGGTGAAAAATTAGGCTTTGCAGCCTGTTTACAATTCTGCCCTTAAATGACAATATACAAAACAAACATACACATATATTATACATACAAGGAAACTGAATAATGAAAATCTATACTTTACATTCCAAACAACATCAAATGCAGAAACCGATAATGGTTTAAATTTAAATATACAGAATAGTTATATAACATTTTGGATATAATTATGCAGTGATTTTTTAAAAGTTGAGAGAACATGTAATGAGTTCAAATTATTTGGAAGTGTATTCCATAAAACTGGTCCATTACAACTAAGACTATGTTTAAATTTAGTACAATTTGGATGTGGAATTTGTAATTTAAGATTTATAGGGTTGTAAGGGGTATTTTTAAATTGAAATAAGGAACACAAGTAATTTGGACTTTTATAGTTTAATATGTTGAACAGAAATATATATTTATTCATTAAATGACGTTGTTGAATGGTAGGCAGTTTTAAAGATTTTGAAAGAATGGAATATGAAGAATCAGAAGAATTATATTTAATAATAGGTTTGCTGAATACAATTTTAAATGATAATTTTTCGATAATTTTAAGTTTATGAAGAGAAGAAAATTGACAGGAGTCCCAAATGGTAGAGCAGTAGTCAAGATGTGGTTGAAAGTGAGCGTTATAAAATAATTTTAATACATCAGTTGGAAGTAATGATTTGATTTTCCTAAGTTGAAAGTTTTTCTGTTTTAAAATAGTACATAAATGGTTTACATGAGTGTCCCAAGAAAGATTAGAGTCAAAATATACTCATACGAGTTTGAAGTCAGAAACATGTTCAATGAAGGTAGAATTAATAGAAATGGACAAATGTGTAGATAAGGAATTTATTTTAGGTTTTGAAGCAATAATCATACATTTAGTTTTAGATTCATTGATTATCATGTCATTGGAGTTGCACCATTGTATAATTTTATCAGTTTCTGACTGAAGTGTAGAGTTAAGAGGATCAAAATTGGTAGAAGAAGAATATACTGTGGTATCATCAGCAAAAAGATCACATTGAGCTGTCAAATTTAGAGGAAGGTCATTAATAAACAGATTAAATAGTAGTGGCCCAAGAATGGAGCCTTGAGGAACACCAAGAGTTATGAGGTCAAGAGAGGACTTGGATTCACCAATTTGAGTGCATTGATAACGCTTAGATAAGTACGATTCTAATAATGTGCATAATTTGGTAGAAATTTGGTATAATTTTAGTTCCTCAAGTAACAGGGAGTGATTGACCATATCAAAGGCTTTACGGAAATCAACGAAAACTAAACCACTGTATTGACCTTTATTAATGGCAGAATAAACATTTTCTGCAATATTTGTAAGGGCAGTATGACAAGAAAATTTTGACCTAAAACCAGACTGATGAGAATAAAGTAAATCGTGATCCAAGAGACAGTTATTAATGTGTTTACAAATATGCTTTTCCAAGGGTTTAGAAATAGTTTGAAGTATAGATATGGGGCGATAATTCTTGGGTTGGAATTTTGGACCTGATTTATATAATGGAAGAACTTTAGCCTGTTTAAGGGTGGACGGAAAAATATTCTTATCTATACAAAGATTATAAATAAATGTCAATGAATCACAAAGAATTGGAGCACCAAGTTTAAGAAAATGAGGACCAACTTGATCTAATCCTATTGATTTGGAAGTATCAAGAGAATGAAGATATTGGAATACATCAAATTTTGATATGTAGGGAAGATGACACAAGGTATTGTTTTCAAGCTGATTAGATACAAATGTAGATATCGCATTAGAGGTAGAACGATCTAAATGATTTGATGGACTAGGTATAATGGACTTTGCAACATTATGAGCATTAAAAATATCAGGGGCAACAGGAATGGAAGAACCATCATGAGATTTACCCTCAGAATTAGCAGTATTGATGGCTTTCCAAATTTATTTACTGTTTTTGCGATCAGTGACTAATAATTCAAGACATTTCCTTTTATTACTACGAAAAAGAGATTTAACTTTATTACGAAAATGTTTAAATTGCAGAGTATTGCCTTTTTTCTTATGAAAATCACGTTCATGAATATAATGAAACACTTCAGGGGTTATCCAATCAGGTTTGTGAACATTTTTGACTCGTTTGGTTTTTAAAGGGGCATGTTTATTAATAATGGGCAGTGTAATATCATACCAGTTGTCTAGTGCAGTATTAGGATCACAGTGATCATATACAGAATTATATGGAGCCCGTTGTAAATCATAGAGGAATAGATCATTATTAAAATGTTTAAATGAGCGATAAGTAATATTAGTATGTGAAGATTTGGGGAATTTTACACCTTTCTTTTGCCAAGTAAAACAAATAGGGAAATGGTCTGATATTGAGTCGAATTCCGACTGTAAGCGGTTCATTTAAGTCCACGGGACGCCCCACCCCCACCAACTATGGCTATGAGCCTGTTCACAAGGGTGGATACACGATTTTTCAAAATGGGTGGGGTTCAGCCAAACCAAAACACAGGGCAAAATCGACTAGAAATGACATTTGTTGTATTAAAATAGTTTTTTTATATTTTTTGTTGCCGTTTCATATGTTCACACAATTATTTCCAACAAAGAGATGTATTTTAGGTCTTTGAAGCTTGATAATTACAAATATACTGTTTATGTTTTCTATACGGTGTTCTTTATAATAAATGATATTATATTTAATATATCTCATGAAATGTTATGTAATTGGCACTCAGTTGTATGTATAAAAATTGAAAAAGAGGTATCTAAACGGCCAATTAAATTCCATTGAAACATGAAGTAGACACAATTTATGTTTATATAATGACATGCTAAGCGGGGCGAGGCGAACAACTTTATTAAAAATAATAATTACATTTTCATTTTCCAGGTGACCGGCCTACGTCTGGGGTCTTATTTAAAGGGACAATCTCGATTTTATTTTGGAGAATAAAACTGCTTAATTTTCTGTTAAAATCCCATAAAATCATCTACCTTTGGGTCGAGCAACTGTAACTCAATATACGTGATACGATGTCTGAATAAAACCAGACTTTTATTTTATAAAAATAACGTGCAGTTGAAATGTACCTTTCGTTATCAAGTACAGCACTTTTGTTCCCTTTAAATAGAAATATGGCAAGTTTATACAACATTGATGTTAATCCGAGAGAATTTTCTGTTGTAGTGAAGACAATTACACCTCCTCCCCTCCCCATTGTGAACTTAACTTGGTCGTTTGTGAGAAATGTGACGGATAACAACTACTGAAATTCACTTTCCCAATACTAAAACATTCTACAATACAAAAAATATGTCATACTCTAATTTACATTGTGAACTCAACTAGGTCGCTTCTGGGATATGTGGCGGATAAAAACCACTGAAAATAATTGTCCCGATACTAAAAATTTCTACAATACCCAACATTTAATACTCTAATTTACTTGGGTGTCTTTTTACACGGACCCGCTTTTTCTCCCTGCTTACACCCTACTTATGATCCCTTTGAACTCCAGGTTGGGAAACACGGTTCTCAAACACAATGTCATGTTTTTGTAATCTACTCCCTTTCGTTAATGATAAGCAAAAACTCTTTAATCAATGATTATATGAAATCAATGATTTAAATGTTTGATTTACAATCAAATTTTAAAACTTAATCTTAATCGCTGACGAAGAGAAATTCTAGTCTAAGATTAACTAATCTGACTTTTGAGAAGGCCAAACTTAGTCAACTACTAATATCTAATTAGCTAGTTACCGATTGGACCTAATCACAGATTATTTTAGACACTGTTCGAAAATATGGGCCTTAGTGTTTAAGATTACACTGCAGTCTATATAATGAAACAATATTTAGAGATGGTTTGGTATTTGACATTAAAAACAAAAAAAAATCGATTAAAACGTCAATGGTGACAAATAACTTTTGGGTTTCCACAATAAGATCTATAAAAGAATTTGATGGCGTTTTATTCAGAATTTAGAGTTGTCTTCTTTCTTTGGTATTAATATTTACTAAATACATGTACTTCTCCAAGGATGGTCAAGTCTCTGAAAAATATAAAGTGATGATTATAAATACACTTATAGACATATTGGGTCTCGATTTGGTTTTTACTTGACATACCAGTCATGGGTACAGGGTTATTTAGATGGCAGAATAAAAGTAAAATAACTTACCGAGTCGTGGGGCGGGGGGTGGGAGCAAGAGCATAATTTTTTAAAACGTAGATATAACACCATTGTTATTGTCTTTGATGTGTCAAGTTTATTGGGGCGATATCAACCAGACACTTCCAAATGCAGACATTGTAATAAACTGACTCTGTATATTGTCTTGAGACAAGATGTGAAAATAAACAAAGAGTAGAATCGGAATAATCTTTTATTATGTCTAATTAAATAAATAGTTTATAATTAGATAATAATTGACTAAAACTTTGATCTCTTTACATCAGTATATCCTGTTATAAAATACGTTGTTTAAAAAGAGATATTAAATGTATCGCACAATACATACATGGTGATTTCTACTTAATGTTTGTAATAATTATTATAAGGTTATAGATAGTTAGAAATATTTTTAAAAAATCAAGTGAATTACTCGAAATTCAAATTCAGGAAAAGTGGTTTTACATTCAGATTTTTCAATAAATAAAAACCATAATGTGATAAAGTAACATAATAAATGTTATCTTAAATGTCGACGTAATTAATTATATGGAAAAAAAACCCTACACACAAGATTTTATAAATCTACACAAGTTTGTGTTAAGACATTGAAAAGAACACAAATTTGTGTTATTGCAATGTAAAACAACACAAGCTTGTGTGGAATATTTTTAACACAAGTCCTTGTGATGAGATCCAACACAAGAGGTTTTTCTGTGTACTATATTACTAAGAGTAAAAATAGTTGCAATTTATAGTGTACGCGTTTTTCGAATACCACGATGACAGCATTGAATTCTGAAACAAAAACTTCCATTGGGTGTTTTCAGTGGCACAGAATATGTAATAGAGCAAACTGAAACCCGACCGTACTTTAAGGGATCGAAATGGTCGACTTTGGAATGCTGTGGGAAGGAATACATTTAAAATGACATTAAAAATTACTGCAAATATCGATATAGAGTTTATTAAAAGATTAATTCATTAGTTCATTTAGTTCCATCCAATTTTACTATACACCACACAACAACAACAACAACAACAACACTAACAACAACAACAAAAAAAAACAAAAAAAACAAAAAAACAAAAAAACAAAATTAGAAAGCAAATAAGATTTTCCGACCGATACTATTTTGTGTGCCAAGTAACCATTAACACAGATAATTGTTTTACTTGACTTGATAAATATAAAGAAGCCATTACGTAATATCCATTAGCCTACATATAATTATTCTCCTTAAATGTTTAGATTGATATTCACAATAGGATATTATTATATCTGAATTTATTTTTATGAAACTTGGGTATTTTAATTAAGAGTAATATATTATTTTATTTTCAAAAAAGGAAATTAGGTCAAGATTAAGCCCGTCTGACCTTAGGTAAACATACGAATGGTAACCCCCCCCCCCCCCCCCCCAAAAAAAAAAACATACATACAGTAGAGTAAGGAGTTTCACACATGGTATAGACAGGCCCGTACCGGTATCTAGGGGGGTGGGGTGGACAGGGGGGGTCGAAGACCCTGGGTATAGGTGGTAGTTGTGCTCACAGAATTTGAAGTGGTGAGGAAATTTAATTACTTTATTTCAAAACTCAGTGGTCTGAATCCTAATACATCATGGGATAACTATGGTAGTCTTGCTCTACATGACACATGTGTAGAATCTTTCAGAACTTTTTGATGAACAAGGCTTCAATCTTGTAAACAATCATGGCTGATGTTTTGGAAAATCTGAAGAAAAATGGCATTTATAAGAAGATTTTGTATCCAGGAGAGGGCGAATTGCAACCATATAAAGATGGATGCAAGGTTAGTAATGTTCAGTAAAAGTGAACAATAGAATAATGAAACAAAATGGACAGAACAAAAAAGAAACACTGAAACTATACAAAATAACAATCGTGACATATCAATCACCATTCCGCCACGGGGGCTCTAGGCCTATTTTTATACATACAGACTATCATAAAAACAATGATTTGCACCAGTACTTTAGTAGACTTTTCTATTGGGGATGATTTTGTTCGTTTCAAAAAGTCTGAATTTTATTTTTGTATATAGCCCTAGGAGGCCCCCCGAATTAGGCTAGGTCCTAGACTGCGTATAGGCCTACATATTTGCAAATTATTGCCTCCCTTCCCCCTCTATCCCATACAGTTTCGATGGCCCTAGTACATATTCATTCTTTTAACATTTTGTCTTGAGATGCAAGATTAAATGAATGGTTATTAGATCTTCAAACATAAAAGTTATCTTCTTTAATTTGGTGTCTGAGTGGAAACAATCAAAGTTGCAGATAGGGTGTTATGAAAATCAGATAAATACATGTTAGTGACTTTAATTACATCTTTCTGTGAGCAAATATGGTGCTGAAAATGTTCTTTTTTGGTGAGATTCCATTTTTTAAACCTCTGTTTTTCTTTAATATGATTTTTTTCTTTTTATTAGCTTTATTTCCACTATAAAACAACAAAGTGTGATGAAGACAGAACAGTTATTGATGATAGTAGGAAACATGATAAACCAATGGAGTTGATCTTAGGAAAGAAATTTAAACTAGAAATTTGGGAGACATGTTTAAAAACAATGATAAAGAAAGAAGTATCTGAATTTATTTGTGAAAGAACTGTAAGTAAACTTTTAATAACTACTAGTATTTATTTATATTTACAAGTCAACATTTTAAAGGCATATGGATCCCCAAAGGTTATAACATTTGATTGATCTTAGTTATGATCGTCTAAGGTTCCTAATGCTTTCTGTTGATGTCATCTTTTTCTGTCTTGGAACATCCTAACCAAGTTCTAAGCTTTTTTAAATAGTCCAGATTGCTATCGAAAGAGCAAGTTGAAGCTCATATTTATGGTTAAATTTAAACAATGCCTATTAGGGCATTGAGACTTAAAACTGCAACTCAGATGATGATTATAAACCAGAAACTGTGCAGGCTTATAATAGGCATATGCACTTCAGCATCCAAAAGACTTTAACATGTAGGATGAAATTCATGGACATGTATTCTCTTATAATGTTATACATAAAATAACGACGAATCCAAGTACAGAACTCTTATCTTTTTTTAGCTTTGTTTAAGTATGTCACTTAAGTAGAGTTCCAATCCCCCCTCGACTCTATCAATGGTATCCCCAGTGATATTGTTGTGTTCTACTCTACTAACCCTGGTCCCATTCACTGGGGATACATAATCAAATTATCTGCATTTGTGCTTTTTTTTATTGACCAATTGAGTAGACAAAGGGAAGTAACTCAAATTTTATTGCAATTAAGTGAATGTGTGGTGAATGTAAAAAAAGGCGTTAAGACTGGTATGTAAACTGTTTTTTGATCGGTTCGTAGAATCAACCTTATGATCAAGGGTAGATAATTTGGATTCATGAAAACCCCAGGGTTTTGTGAAGTAAAACAGAATGATATCACTGGGGATACCAAAGATGCTCTTGACTGGTCTAAAAAATAAGTAATGCCAATCGTTTGATGTTAAAAATTTGAGTAATACAAATTTTTTTTTTTCTATGGTCCCTGGGCAAAAACCTCCTGATATACCGAGTGAAATTAAGTCTTAACCCAATAGAAGTTTTGTGCTTATGGGTTTTGTTTAAAAATATTTTTCAGCACGTAGCGACCTACCCATTAGTATCAAAGAGCCTACGTGCAATTCATCATCCAGATAAACACAATCATAAACATGAAGAGAAACAACATTGTTGTGGTATGATGGCGATGGCTGATCAAGGCACAGGTTATCCAGATTTAGATGAACTGATGAAAGATCCACAACCTCTCATATTCACATTAGGTATGTAAATCATAAAGGGGTGTCATTATCTGTGCCAGATTAACAGTGTCTAGTTATTTGGATGGGACAAAAAAATCCCTGATGTCCTGTGTACCCGTGGGCATGTCCAGACAAAATTTACCTCATAGTACACAGCATGATGTTGCTGGTGCAGAAGAGTGGGACTTTAAAAGCCATTTCACTGCATTTATTTAATTTGTTTCTTTTCATTTTTACTTTTTCATGGAAACCTGATGCTACTTCACTATAGGGTATTGTCAATTTTATTGTTTACCGTTTAGGAAATCCACTTGGTATTTACTCCATTTAGATTTTCATTATAATTGATTATGCTTTAGGATTCATTACACAGAGTATTTGTATGGTAAGGTCTAATGTCTTCTTTAGAAAGTACACACATATACAGTATATATATGTTGACCTGGAGAAAATCGCCGAGAATGAACAGGCGACCCTACTCCTTGTCATGTACAACCAGGGAATTGAAACCATGCCATTTGACTCAATGACAGACTTTATGATACAGCGTGTACACGTTATCCATTTGGCCATCCACCCACCTTGTCAGAGTTCAGACCTGTAATGAAATGTACATTGTTTTTATAATGGAATACAATACACTTGAACTTGCTATTAAAATAAATCATAACAAATCTATTTCAGAATTAGTCAAAGTTGAAATGCCTGAAGATTTTGAGAAAGAATCATGGATTATGACGGATGAGGAAAGGTTCAGTTCGTTACCCAAATTAAAAGAAGCTGGAAATCAATTATACAAAGAGAAAAAATATGAAGAAGCTGCACAAACTTATTTTAAAGCCCTAGGAATTCTAGAACAATTAGTATTAAAGTGAGTTCGAAATTTTTATGTTTTTACTTGTTACAATACATAGTTGCAGTAAGTCAGTGTGGTTGAATTTATTAAGTGAACATTTCGATCTTCAGACCAAAAACTCCTCAAAATACCAACTTTTCATAGAGCTTTCCTGTATGCTGCACCATATTTATGAAATCATCTACCTCTAAAATTAAGACTTTCAGAATCCAAGAAAACTTTCAAATTCAAGCTCAAAACATTTCAGTTCCGAAATCCCTATTGAAAGACATGACTAGTGATAACTTTGGAACCAGTAGAACATTTGAATTATTGTGATTAGGCGCTTTATAAATGTTGATATATTAATTATATTAAACTACTAATATAGAATCTACTAAGCCTGACTGCATTCTAAATCTGTTGTTCTCAGACAATGATTACAAATACTATCGATGTTATTAGAGAAATAAGGAACATATGATCCATGACCACCATTTTATGGTTTCGAATCATGGCACAGAACGATAATAGTCAACATAGTTATAAGGGCAGTTTGATAATAAAGGGAATGTAAATGATCCCTGAACAGTGGGAATTCTGATGCTGTCCTTGGCCAAAATTTGGTCTGCATTACACCATAGAAATAATTCACCATGTGTAAGTCACGTGTTGAGGAGACCATTCATGCATATCTGAGTCTTACAAATTTTTGTATTGGCCTTGACTTTGTTTTCTCCAAACAACACCAACACATTCCTGAATTTAGTACAGAAAAAGGTTTGGTGTAGTTGCTTTTATGGTATAATACAGAATCTACTGAAATTAACTTCCGTTCTCCCGCACTGATTTCAAGTACTGTATATGTTATTAGAGAAGTAAGGGCATAGGATTCATGACCACAATTTAATGGTTTCAAATCAATGACAAATTGAGACGAGTCTTCATTTTTGTTAAGCACTGGGAAAGGATGAAAAAGGTTATGTTAATGATCCTTAAACAGTAGGAATTCTTTTGCTATCCTGGCAAAAAACTTTGGTCCACATTTCAGCGTCTTAACAAATTTCTAAATTGGCCTTAGCTTTTTCTCTCAAATATCACCAAATTTATTAATTAGAAAAAAAGTTTCATACTTAAACTTTAGAATTAAACTTACAGATAATAAGAACTTTATTTTATGTATTAACAGAGAGAAGCCTGGTGACATAGAGTGGGAGAAACTAGAGGATATGAAAATACCTTATTTATTAAATTATTCACAATGTCAGTTACTAAAGGGAGAATATTACCCAGTTATAGAGCATACAACATCAGTATTAAAACGCGATCCTGGTAAGTATTTTATATTAAAAAAAAGGATTTTCTCTGCATTATAATTGGTCTCATATTTGCTTCTTGCCTATCAAGAATCTTTTAAATCAAGATCTGTTGCTTATTAAATACAAAGGAGCATTGATTAAATTGGATATGAATATGTTTGTGTTAATTTCTGTGTCATATTTTATCCAGGAAGTTGTTTCTTATGCTTTGTTGTATTCTTTTCATTTTTGCTGCGAGGCTCCAATACGAGTATGACTGACATGAAACTTTACATAATTGTCTTTGAACAGTTGCACATCGATTGATTTTGATATGATGGGATGATGTCATATAGTGTGTTTGTACTTGTTCTAATATTCTGAGAGAGGGTTGTGTGGTCTTGTCATTTTACGTGTAAAATCACAAGGTCTGTCATTGAGTGAAGTGGCGTGGTTTCGATCCCCCCCCGCTTGAACATGACAAGGAATAGGGTCACCTATCCAACTGCATTGGTTTTCCAGGTCCTCTGGTTGCCTCCCAGTGCTAAAGACCCCTACACACAAGCGTATTATTGAAATAAAATTGAACCATATGTTAGTCTCAAAATGACCTAGTTTGTGTCGAATAGACATTAAACCCCATTTCTCTTTAATAATTTGGGTTACTGGAAAATAATTTCTAAACTTTAGATGTTTCTCTGCCATGGTTATTCTAGTTTGTGTGAGTGGAGGGAGGTTAAACCCCATCTCTCTCTCTCTCTCTCTCTCTCTCTCTCTCTGTCAATGGTTATGATTCATTATTTTAAAATAAATTAAAAAAAACATATTTCAGATAATGTAAAAGCCTTGTTTAGAAGAGCAAAAGCCCATGTAGGTGCATGGGATCCAGAGGAAGCAAGAAAAGACTTTAATCGCGCACGAGAACTTGACTCCAATTTATCTAAAGCCGTTGAAAAAGAATTGAAATCTTTAGATGAAAAATTAAAAGTAAAAGAACAAGAAGAAAAGTTGAAACTGAAAGGAATGTTTTAATTTTAAGTGAATTGTGTTCATTTAATTTTAAAAGTGTTTATGTTAAAGTGGTATTAATGTCTTGAAGGTTCTATGATAGAATCATTAAATTACTATCATTTTTATACAACAGGAATATATTAATCAAAGTATTATATTTTACTCCTAGCTGTGGAGGTTACGTGGCTCATTAATAAGAGAAGATAAATCGAGTGGTAGTTAACGTTGCGTTAGTAGTATTGGATAACTATCAACAGTGTTAGTGTTTACTTCATTTCTAGCCCAAGACTTTATTGATGGACAGTTACATCTCATATCTAGTCTTAAGATATTATATAACAGTTTTACAATCAAAGATTTGTGTATATAAACCATACTGCTAGCCAGGACTTTGTACGAACAAATGGATGACGAATTGCTTTGCTAAAAAATGGGGTTGAAAAGTTGGTGGATGAGAAGAATTACTATAGAAACAACATTTTTTCACACCTGTTGATTCTTTATTGTCCACATTTGACAAAGGGTGTCCACTTGAAACAGTCTGGATATAAGTGTCTAAAATTTTATTTTTAGTAACACCCAGAGTGCAGCAAATTACTCGATCAGCATAGTGAGCTCAAAAGTTAGAAAATTCTTATGGCATTTTTATAACCATATACATGTATTGGCACTATAATGTTTTGAAAGTTTGGTTTCATGCAAGCGTTATGTGTGTGTGAATACTTGCTGGCATCTTGTGGCCAACCCTGGCTAGACATTGATCGACTATAATCTGATTTAAATCTAGAGCTGTAAATAAAAGTCATGCATGGTTGTTCTACTAAATTTCTAATCAATTCTATCATATTTTCCCAGAGCTCAAAATAAATTAATACATTTTTCAATCAGTATAAAGAATTTTCTTTAGCAATATTTTTTTTTTATTACAGTTCACTGACATTTTCTTGCCATATATCACAGGAGAGTTACATACAAAATAGTTATATGATTTTGATCCTTAGGAATGGTCAGGTCAGGTGCCTGCAAATATGACCTTTCTTTTATAATAATGTTGTAGATTCCAGAAAAATGATGTCATCATTCATTGTATTAATATACAAAATTATTGTAAATTTGAAAATATTATTTTACTGTTTATCAAATTCAATATATATTATAAAACTGTTGTAATGAAAGTGATATTGTCAAGTATTTTAGGAAATAATATTTGAGGTTATCATATTTTATTTTCTTGCAACTGTATAACTCTCTTGTGAGAAATTTGAAAGCATTAATTCCTGACATGAAAAATTACCTGCAACAATATTAAAACATGAATCTCTTCCACATTAATTAAACAACCATCATTTACAACCCATTGATAGTTGATAAGTATTTCAGAATGCTGACAGAAGTTTTCAAAACATTAATTTCTCAACCATCAATCTCAGAATGCTGATAGAAGTATTCCAAACTCATCTATTAATGCATACAGTATTGTTTTGATACAGGTAAATAAATCATTGTAATCAGGTCAATATAACCAATACGCATTGAAAAACTTAAAATATATATTCCCGGTCAATTTACACCATTCTCAATTTCTATAATTTATTGTTTTGTTTATTATCAAGTTTATACCCTACATTTTATTGTATTATATATTGTATTTTAAATATTGGAATAAAGGTTATTGTTATAAATTTTATTAATTATGTCTTCTTAATGATGAAAAATGGATACATGTATAATAGTACATACAGTAGGTCTATCAAAGTATGATAAAACATGATGGCAGCATATTTATGGACCGTCAGTTCTTGTTTACCAGATTGATTTAATGTGGTCAACATTGACTGTTTAGAATTATTTTTTTTATACGGCTACATATAATACAGGATTAACTTCTCAATGGAATATTAAAAATGTGTTGTGATTGTATATTTGGGCCTACAGAAAACCCAGTCGAAATCTTCTGTTGCAATCTTGTGAACACAATACACACACAGTGTTCTCTTTAGAATATTTACAAGTTGGTGAGGTTGGTTTTTAAATGCTGAGGAAGCCATGGTGGCACAATGTAACAACGTTGGTGTACTAACCAGGAGGTACCAGGTTCAGTCATGTCCTTGGCCGACAATTCGCTGTGATTTCCACAGGACAGTGCTGTAGGACAGGACAGCAGGCTTTTCAAGGAACAGTGTCTAGTCATTAGCAATTTCCCACAGAAGTTTTTATTTTTCCTCATATCTTTTTCGTTTATTATTATAAATTCCATTTACCATACGATAAGATTGCATTTAATGAAGTATGGGTGTATCTCTAAATAATGTTTGAGGCCGCTGTGCATTATATTGTCTTAAAAAAAAAAAAAAATAAAGACAAGCTTTATTTGAAGTTGTCTCCCCTGCACCATTAAATTATAAAATTAACCTAAATAAAATTATGTTTACAGTATTTCGTCTACAATGACAGTTACTTTGACTAATATTAGGGTATAGTATATTAGTCTCTAGATTTATTTCTCTTTCTACTTAATTATTTTGATTGTTTTGTAAAACTGTTTGATTGAGGAAATACAAGAGGGAGTGAACATATTTAAACCAAATAAACCTCTTTTCATGAAGAGCTGCCAATATGGCTGACAACAGGTAGGTATTTTTAATTATTATTAGAAAATGGCCAATATTAGCTGTAATTAACATACAATTATTAGATTTTCGTATTGTTTCGAGATCGGCAATAGTTTATTTCTTCTATAATTAATATTCTTTTTAAATATACAATTTCAGGATATTTGTATTTGTATGTTACATGGAAGGGAACATTTTTTATTGACAATTATTTGCTTCGTCAGGTTCATATTTTGATGATTTGTCATAGGGAGAAACTAATCTACAGTTTTAATAACACTTGTTACTATATCATATAGTATATCTTAATTGGTAAATCATGTGATGCAGTGTATGCTTTTTAGTCAAACTGTTTCAATGTACTTATTCGCTGGCACTACCGCTGTGTGCTAATGAACTAGCTTTAAGCCTAAGTCTTCCTAAGGGAAGAAGACAGCACACTATTCTGCAGAATACCATTACTGTTTTTTTTTTAACTGAGCAACATTTCGAATAGGATTCTGTTTTCTTATCTAGCAAATGATAATGCCTTATGCAGAAATGTGTCCAAAATTTGGTAGGCCTACGTTAGCTTACATTACCACGAGGCCTAATATCTTTCTGGTAAATATCATAGTCATGGAAATGTTATGAAATCTGAATGTTGTATTGCACCGGCCACTTAAGGTAACAAAAGTACGGCGATATATGGAGACTCACCGGTCATTTTCTTTACTGTGCAAACTTCAGACAGCAGATCGTACCTCATATATGACCAAATACTTCCTTGTCAGACGCATGTCATGGTTGTCTTACCCTTTCCATCTTTTGTAAAAATAATCTGGTAATTAGAACGTCAAAAAGATCACAGGTTTTATTCTTTATAATTTATTTGGAATTAAACTATTTGCACAATTTGACCTTTTTTTTTTATTACCTTAAGTTTTAGCTTAAAGATTGAAAATGAATTCAACCATAAAAGTTAGTTTAAAGATTGAAAATGAATTCAGCCATATAGTCAGCCTTGAACAACTCATAAAACTTCAGACAATTATTTGTGTTTATAAATAATGGTCATATCTCCAGTAATATTGAGAAGCATGTAGCTATATACCCAGTACTATATGTATTGCATGGATATATCAATGATGATATGGTTTATTTACTATTTGATCAAATTTACAACATTATATTGATTTGCCAACATCTCGAGTAATAGTATTTTGTTTTAGGCTTTGGAAGTACCGTCTGTGGTTGTTATGACAAAATTGACATATATGTAATGTAAAAAAAAGCAGAAAAGAACAATTCAACCAAATCAATTTCTTTTGGTGCTTAATAACATTAACACTATATTTCTAGTGCACACTCAAAATCGATTGTTAGCTGAAAGTTTCCTCCCACTACAAGTAAATTATTGAAAAGAAAATGAACCATATATTAGTCCAGAAATGACCTAGTTTGTGTCAAGTGGACACTATATATACTATAACTGTCCTGGACCCAGAGATCTTTTTAACATCACTCATAATTATGTATTTTTGTAAAAGGACAGGTTTCTCAGCAAATAACGCTTTCTTTTTTAGTCACAAGTTTTTTTTTATATATATAAAAGTTTATATTATAATGAGGGTATGTCTTTAGATGGCAAAGGAATATTGTTTAATGACATTTCAAATAATAAAATTATATTCATTTTTATTCAGGGACATGCGTTTTCCTGGAGGGCAGCCAGGTAACCTTTCTTTATATATGGTATTTTTCTTCATAATTTAGGTGTGATCAATTATACATCTTTTCAACAGTGCAAGTAAAGTGTTACCTAGTTCTTCGGATAGTTGCAAAAATTCACCTCCCTCGCATTGCACAAAGACCATCGAAAAAAAAAATGTATTAATTTAATATACTGTATTATTAATGTGACATTAATTCCCATTCTTTCCTTGCCTTAAAATGATAAAACAATTCTTGCCAATGCTAGTCAACTCTTGCTATTCAATTATGAATGTCAATGAAATTCTTAGTATAAACTGCGTTCATAACCAATAAAACATTTTAGATTAGCCAAAGTTATGTTTTAGAAGTATGATTTTTAAGCAATGTCACATATTATTGGCCAAGGGCATTAATTCCTCCATAATATGTTTCAGGATTTAACAATATGATATCTGGTACACCCCAGTTTATTCAGCCAGGTATGCAGGGCTATCCCATGATGCAACAACCAATGGGTATGACTCCAGGAATGGCACATCAAATGTATCCAATGCAGGTTTGTGTAACATATTTGCCAAGTATATCTCTTCTTTACATTTCACTAAGAAAATAAATTTCAGTGACTGGTATTGAGAAATTTATTTTAATCAAATGTTCATCCAGTTTTGCTATTTTTTTGGTTTATAATCATAGTAAATTGTTATTCATGGTGACTTGGATGTGACATATGAATGAGGACGTTAAATCTTATTTCATTTCTGTACAAAATATTATACCAAACATCATACTTATGTGTCTGTTTATGGAAAGTTTGTCGATGTTTGTGTGACTGTTTTCACCCCCCCAAAAAAATGTTTAACTGTAATTTTTTTCTTCAGCAATATCCCATGGCCAGACCAAGAATGGCTCCTCCATCTTATAACCAGCATATGGCAACTAATTTTAACAGACCAAGGTACATTTCTAAAGTTTTTTAGGGATTTATTAATGGTGACGTCTCTTGATGCCCCAGTAAACTTAACACAACATAACACTTAAAATGGCTAGATGTCATTGATTGGAGTCAAAAACAAAATTGCAGATTACATTAGATTTTATGTGATAGTTTGATTTGTGTTATGATAATCTGTCAAAAATTTAATCACAAAAACCTTCTCTGTCATTAAATTAAAATAACACATCAGATCAACCCAACCCAATTCATTTGGATGGCCGAATGGTTAGCACGTGCACGCTGTATATTAAGGTCTGTCATTGAGTCAACTGGCCAGAGATTCGATTCCCCAGTTGTATGTGACAAGGAGTAGGATCGCCTATCCAACCTCGTGGGTTTTCTATGGGTCCTCCGGTTTCCTCCCTCTACTAAAGACCCCAACATGCAATCAAATTATTGAATTAAAATTGAACCATATGTTAGTCCCAAAATGACCTAGTTTGTGTCGAGTGGACGTTAAACCCTATTTCTCTCTCTCTCTCTCTCTCCCCAATTCAATTCTTTATTGTCCCCCGCCTTTCGAAGAAAGCAGGGGACTATTAAAATGGGTTCGTCCGTCTGTCTGTCTGTCTGTCCGTCTGTCTGTCTGTCCATCTGTCTGTCTGTCCGTCTGTCTGTCCGTCACACTTTTTGGGACACAATAACTCTCTTCCTAATTGAGCTAGAATGTTCAAACTTGGTGTATGTGTTTATTAGGTCAATGCCTTGATGGAGTTCGAAGATGAGCATTTTCCGCTTAGGGTAAGCAGAGATAAGCAATTTGATTGGTTGATGCTTTGGGACACGATAACTCTCTTCCTGATTGGGCTAGAATGTTCAAACTTGGTGTATGTGTTGATTAGGTCAATGCCTTGATGGAGTTCGAAGATGAGCATTTTCCGCTTAGGGTAAGCAGAGATAAGCAATTTGATTGGTTGATGGTTTGGGACACGATAACTTTTAATTGAGCTAGAATGTTCAAACTTGGTGTATGTGTTTATTAGGTCAATGCCTTGATGGAGTTCGAAGATGAGCATTTTCCGCTTAGGGTAAGCAGAGATAAGCAATTTGATTGGTTGATACTTTGGGGCACGATAACTCTCTTCCTAATTGAGCTAGAATGTTCAAACTTGGTGTATGTGTTGATTAGGTCAATGCCTTGATGGAGTTCGAAGATGAGCATTTTCCGCTTAGGGTAAGCAGAGATAAGCAATTTGATTGGTTGATGCTTTGGGACACGATAACTTTAGTTCTAATTAAGTGAGATTGATGAAACTTGGTGTATAGTTTCATTACAGTAATACCTTGACTAAGTTTGATAATGAGCATTTTCTGCTCAGGGTAAGCAGAGCGATACGCAATTTGATTTTTATATGTGTCCTCTAATTATTTTCCTATTTCGGCGGGGGACATCAGCCTCACTGTTGGCTTGTTTTAACTAAAAGATTAACAATAGATATGTCTGAAATAATAACCACCAAATTGTTACCTTTTTTAGAGGTGGAGCACCAGGCAGTGGACCAAGACCACGCCAGCCACCATCGCAAAAAGACATACAGTTTCAGATGCAACAACAACGATTAAAGCAGTTTGGACAGACGAAACATGTGAAAGCTGATGCAGATAAATTTATAGAATCCATGTTTGGAAAAACAGAAAAACCAAAACCTAAAGATTTAAGACAAAAACAGCCTCAGATCGATATTCCTAATCAAACTGGTAAAGTTTATATAAGCCCCTCTATTAAAACACAAAAAGATAGACGTTTTTTCACTACTCATCACTACTAGAAACAATATTCCTAATCAGGCTACTAAAGGTTATACTATATCCCCTCTATTAAAACAAAAAAAGAAAGATCTTTCACAGGCTGGTAAAGTTTTCTACTTTTACCCCTCTATTTAAACTTAAACAAACCAGAGAAATCTTTCAAAATTTATTCTTGTGGAAAAATATCATTAGAGCCTGAGATACTCATCACTAGAAACGATATTCCTAATCAGGCTGGTAAAGTTTATACTGTAACCCCACTAATAAAACCAAATAAAAAGAGAATTGTTTCAAAATGTATTCTTGTGGAATCATTAGCTCTTGACATACTCATCACTAGAAATGATATTCTTAATCAGACTGGTAAAGTTTATATACTATAACCCCTCCATTAAAACAAAAAATAGAAATGTTTCAAAATGTGTTCTTGTGGAATCATTAGGGCTTGAGATACTCATCACTAGAAACTGTTAGGCTAGAACCATTGTTGTTGTTATTGTTCTTCTTAGTGACCAGCCCGCTAGAGCACGAAACTCAACACTCTAGGCCACAAGGACATCCTGTTTCAGCCATTGATGAAGATTTGGAAAACAAACCTTACAAACTACAATATTCAAAGAATACAATATTCTGAAATTTGAATCTCTGAAGGAAATGGTCTAAAAATCTTTCAATCCCATTAAGTATTTACAAGTATGGACATCCCCTGCAGACAGTATAAAAGAGCTAGCGTCTTCTATTAGTAATGGGTATAAATGAAATGAAATGGGGTTTAACGCCCTATTCTTTTGTTCCAAACTCGGCAAATGAAGACGGGCATACGCCATACAGTGTGCTATGAGGGAAATTTTGCCCGGACAGCGGCTCTACAGCCTACTCTTATATCGAATTCCAACTGTCAAGGGATCTTTTATGTGCATGCCAATGTGTACAAAGGACCTTGTTTTTTTGTCTCATCCGAATGACTAGACAGCTGTCCTTGTCAGGCCCTCCGTCCTGCATCACTAACAAGGGGGAACCACGCCGGAAAATCTGGATGAACTTTCTTGGCCAATGAGTAATGGGTATAACATTGTCATGGGCCACTTTTTAATTGAAATGAACCCTAGCTGTGAGATTATTTACCACTAATATTTTAGTTTATATTTTTTTAATGAAATGGTGTATAATCAGCTTGAGTATGTTTTGCTATTCCTTTGGTTTAATAATTTTTGTCTTTCCATGGAAACCAATTTGATGGCTTGTTAATCACTCAGTCTTCCCTTTTTTTTATTTTCAATCAGGTGAACCAGATGTGGATGATGATGGTTTTGGTGATTTTCTACAAGGACCAATGACGGCAGCACCCACTCCTCCCCCAGCTCAAGTGGTGCCAGCCACTGTCAGTAATATATCTCCAGCACAGCTCAGTACCAATACTACAGATTCTAGTCTAAATAATGTACCGGCAGTTACAAAAACAGCAATGACCCCACCACAAATACCTAAACAAGAAAAGAAAGGTATTTGTAATGTATGAAAAGAAAAATGATTTTCAGAATCTAAATAAAAATCTTTGAAAGAACAACTTTTTTTTTAATTCAAGATTATGCAAATGCAGCTACTTTAGTTTGATAAGCTAGCTACCGTGGTTGGAAATTCTTGATTCTAAACCTACATATTCGAATGCATATGTTTGGGGTTATTCCTATCTCTGTCCATTGTTATCACTATATACACATATTTAGCATGGGGGTCTTGGAGTGCTTCACCCCTCCAAAATGAGCTCGAAGCACCTTTTCTAGCAGACATAACATTTTATGGCAGTAATCAGAGATTTTATCCGATAAAAGTACTATTTCTGGGGCAATATGTATTGATAAATTTAGATAAAACTTTTACAGTTACACAATTGTGAAATGTTTATATTTTTTTCAGATTTAATGACAATGATGATGGAATGTTCTGATCTCAAGGCTCCACAGAAAGCCAAGTCGTTCCAAAAACCTCTAGTCAAAGATGTCAAAGTTCAACCACATAAAACCATTACATATCATCAAAGTCAACAAGCTAGACAATGGCAAGTCTCCGCAGAACTTGAAGATCTTTTTCATGAAGACAGTAAGTGTTTAATATGAATTTCGGGGATCTTTCGGGAACTTTTTATTTAAAATTTTCTTGAATTAAATTCAAATATACAAAGTCTAAGACTATATTAAATCAGAAGTATATATTGATAAAAAAAATAATGCCTATTATGTTCATTTGAAGTTTACACTAGTTTCGATGGATCATGGTTGTGTCATCTAATGGGGTTTCAGGCCAAATTTTGTGGATTTATTATGTGGGAACTAGACAATACACCACAGAGAACAACACAGGGTATATATGAATATAACTGCTTCTCTCTTAATAAAGACATACAGGTCACGTTTTTAAGTTAATGACAGATAATGAGACTAGACATGTGTTACAAGGAAATTAAACCCAATTCTTACTCTTCCACTTTATTTTTACACAGAGTAATTGTTTTATTGTTTTAAAGTTCCACCTACACCAGCATCCCCGCCAGCTCCAACTGAGCCCAATGCTATTGCCATAACAGCCAGTCCTGTATCGCCACCAACAACTAACATATCAACGAGTGGAGGTGTTTTACCAGAGTGGTGTCTGTTTGTAAGTGAAAAGTTACCTCCCCTGTATAATATGGTATATGAGGCTGCACTAGTGTAAGTATAATAATCATATTGTCCTACTTGATTTATATTGTTGTCACCCCTGTCTGTTGATTGTCAGCAATTTCCGATAATTGCTTTTGGCGTTATGAATCTTGATCTTTTTTGGAAAATTTTGTGAACTCTCTAGAGGCTAATTATTACTTAATTAATTAATGGGTTTCTTCTCCTGACCAATGCTCCCATTGCTTACAAAATAATATAAATGTGACAGCCCTTGTGGACTGCTCGGACGACTTAGCTACTGTGGTTGTATGGTTCATTGCCTGGCAACCTGTCTTTATTATTTTATAAAATAAGTTATTGTCTTATTTCAAAAATAATTTCATTAATTTAAAATTCAATACTGATGAAAAACAAAGTTTTTTATACGTGCACATTTTCATGTGGACGTATATTGTCGTTGTCCCTGTCCGTCTACAGGTCACAATTTTTATCCGATTTCAATGAAACTTGAAATATATGTTTATCACCCTAAGATCTTGGTTCCTTTCGATATTCGCATGTATCGGACTGTAACTTCATGGATTATGGCCCCTGATTGCACGAAAAATCACGTTTTTAGCTTGTGAACACTGTAGAGGTCACAATTTTTATCCGATTTATTTCAAACTTGAAATGTATGATTATAACCCAAAGATCCCGGTTCCTTTCGATATTCGCGCATATCTGAACATAACTTCCTGAATTATGGCCCCTGATTGTACGAAAAATCGCATTTTTAGCTTGTGGACCCTATAGAGGTCATAATTTTTATCCGATTTAAATAACCGTATTATTATATCACCGTTAAACCCTAAGGACAGACAGACAAAATGGCCGCCCTTCGTTCTCAACTAGAGTATAAATATGGTATATCAAGGTTGTGGACCCTATAGAGGTCACAATTTTTATCCGATTTTGTTGAAACTTGAAATGTAAGTTTATAACCAAAAGATCTCGGTTCCTTTCGATATTCGCGCATATCGGACCGTAACTTCCTGAATTATGGCCCCTGATTGTACGAAAAATCACTTTATTTTTAGCTTGTTCTCTATCCATCTCTCGAAAATGTGGGCGTATCCTGCCTGGCAGCCGCTGTTTTTTTTTTAGTCTTCCCACTTTATGATATCTTTTATGTAGAATAGTCAGATTGTCTCTGTAAAATATATAATTTTGGGATATTTACTATTACTATAATCTGAACATACAGGTATGACCTTAAACTATATAGAATAGTAGGATTACCTGTTTATAATATATATATACTGTTTTATGTTTACAGTGATGGTAAGATAGATACCAATAGACTCTATCCTATACTAGTATTAAGTAATCTACCAAGAGAAGTACTGGGATATATTTGGTCAATGTCTAATACCACGACCCCAGGTCAACTGATACAGTCAGAATTAAATGCTATACTGGCACTTATAGCTTTAGCTCAGGTTTGTATTATACATTAAACTCTGTAAGACAGATTTGGCTTTAAACTAAACCAGGTGTTATATATCAACAATTTATACCTGTATGCAGCAATTGTACATCAAATCATGGATGAGAAGAAGCACCCACCCACCATTTTATACGCCCGCATGGAAATTTAGCCGTAGATTGTCATCTCTCCTGGAGCCACGGTGCCGAAGTGAGTAAGTGGCTGACTCGTTAGTCTGGAGATCTCATGTTCGATCCCTGCATTGGCCGAGAGAGTTCTTCAGAATTTTCTGGTGTAGTTTCCACTTGTGAGTGGTGCAGGATGGAGGGCCTGACAAAGACAGGTGTCTAGTCATTCGGATGGGACAAAAAAAAATGTGCATACATTGGCATGCATGTAAAAGATCCCCTTGGAAGTTGGAATTTGATATAAGAGTAGGCCATAGTGCCGCTACTCGGACAAAATTTCCCTCATTGCACACCGTATGGCGTATGCCCGTCTTCATTAGCCCAGTGAGAGCAGAACAGTAGGACGTTAAACGCCATTTCAGTTCATTTCATTTTATTTCTGCCATCTCTCCTGTCTGTCCATCAGTCCATTAAACATCATTTCATTTGATTAAATTATCATAATAACCATATTGAAACAATATATTATAACGTTCAAGAAAATTAATCTCATATCATATTTTTCAGAATAATCATAGCATCATGTCCATTGATATACTTAAAAGATGTCCTCAACCACCCATTCCATTTCTGGGCCAAAATAGTTCTGCTCCATCATCTGTAGCTCAACAACAACAACAACAACCTGGTACCCAAGCAACAGTCTCTGATACCCCAGTTGTCAATAGCAACCAACCTCAGGGATTACCTAACACCCAACCAGTAATGCCAAGTCCCAGTGGTATTCAAGCTACCATTCCTAGTCCGTCAACCAGTTTCCAAGTTGTGGCACCGGTTCCTCAACCAGTTAATTCAGGTTAGAATCTTATTTCCTTCTCAACCAGTTAATTCAGGTTAGAATCTTATTTCGTTTATGTTTAAATCTAAAACTTTGGATCTGGGTTCTTCTTTGGTGTAAGGGATTAGATGACAAATGTAAATAAACAAAGCATAGAAAATTATATATACTGGTGACAGAGACATTCATCTGATATTATACATCAAAGCCCTCACTTAAGAATCTTGGCAGTCAGACATCTGTGCATGTTTTAAATGTCTTAATTTCAAATCTGAAATTTATTTCTTCATATTTCTTAAAAAACTTTATTAAAAGAACAACCATAATATTACTGGTACAATTGTGCATATTCACAGCAAGTAACAAATTTTTGTTATATAATAGAAAGTAACAAATTTATATTAAACGTACATTATGCACGAGATAAATCTGCCTATTGCAGGGCTTTCTTTAGGCCTGAAACGATATATAAACTATTAATTAGACATTTATTAACAAAACAAGACCATAATCAACTCAAAATAAACACAACAGTTCTATGGATAACAATTACTGTATTTCTATTAAAGCTACTTTTCAATAATGATTCTCTTGTCATTATCAAGCACAACCAGATTAGAACGGTTTAAAAATTTAATTTAAAAGTGGGAAAGCGAGGCTAAGTCTCGAATATACCCGTGTGCTTGTTACCACAATGCACACATATTGTCAAAACTACTAACAATGATATCTTAGCTCAGAATGAAGTAATTTGAATGAAATTTTTAATATTTTCATTTGACATTATCTATTTTTGAGCTATTATAGCAAGAATGGTCAGCTCTTTATGTAAATCTTACATATTGTATCTTTAAGTCAAAGAATGAGTCTTTTTGGTATAAATATTTTTTTGGTTACATTGCTCTTAATTTCATCATACGTTAATGATACACTTTGATTTGTTTATGTTGATTTCAAAAGCCATAACATCCTTTTTAATAACTTAAAATATTTGATTAGTATAATCAGCATTTGGTATGATCAATACAAAATAAGGGGACTATTCCATTCCTCTTGCAATTCTCTCTTGTCATGTTTTATAATTAAATTTTTCAAGAATTATATTATAATAGGATACAATGTTGAAATGGTGAGGCTAGGCACCATGCTAAAAAAAACCCCAAAAAACCTGTAGAATGCCTTGGTGAAAATTGTATTATACATTAATTCACAGAAATATTTTACATGGGCATGTCTCAGTTTTACAGTTTTAGTATATTTCGTAAATAAGGCATTATTATAATTTATTATTTTTTCAGTTTCTTTTTTTATAGAATTTTTTTAACATTTTTTATAGGCATGAAACCTAATTCTACTCAGTCTACTATCTCTCAACCTCCGCGTTCTTTTCCGACTCTGTCTGAGCCTGCTATTATAACTCATACATCAGAAGATGATTTCGCTGACTTTCAATCAGCAGATAAACCTACAGGTAATTATTTATGGAATAACAATTACTGAGTTTAATACTAAGCGTCCTTTCGACGATGATACTCTCATCTTTATCAAGTTAATGAAGAGGTAATCATGTAACAGATTCAAAGAACTCTAACTTTGCAGATCCTCATCCATGGATAACATGCCTAATCTATTAATGTATCTGAATATACAGTTTACAGTGCAATGGGGCATGTTCATAGTAGATTGCATATAAGCTTTGAGACAAATCTGTTAATCCATATACATTTTAAGAATAATTTTATAGTTGTCTATCAACAATGCTGTAGAACTGCTCTTGTGAATACCGTAATACATACATAGTCTAGCTATAATGCAGTGAGGGGGGTTCGATGGCTGAATGATTAGCATCTACGCTCTGTATCATAAGGTCTGTCATTGAGTCAACTGGCACGGTTTTGATTCCCCGGTTGTACATGACAAGGAGTAGGGTCACCTGTCCAACGTTCTGGGTTTTCTCCGGGCCCTCCAGTTTTCTCCCACTGCTAAATTCCCCTACTCGCAAGCAAATTTTTGAAATTTAATTAAACCATGTGTTAGTCCCGAAATGACCTAGTTTGTGTCGAGTGGACGTTAAACCCCATTTTTCTCTCTCTCTCTATAATGCAGTGTCCCTTGTCTTATGTGATCAGAGAATTGATCTGAATGTGTACTTGAAAGTTTAGTAAATCTTTTTCTGAGGTTCATTTATTACTTGAATGTTTGGAAAAAATTTTGGGAGGGTGGGGGTGGGGGGATTCTTACAGATACATTATGTAAATCTGCCTATTGCAGGTCTTTTTTCTGGCTTTGAATGTTATATAGATTATTATTAAGATATTTATTCAGATTACAAGCCCATAATCGAGTCTCTATACTATCAGATGGCTGGCATTTCAAGTGCTTTATACCATATATGCATGATTTAATTTGTTAACACTAAAATGAGAAATCAAGTTTTCGTTAATCATAATAGCAGTGTCAATTATTTGACTGCTGACGTAACCATTCATGCAAACCTGTCAGATCTATTTGAAAAGTATAAAAAAATGAAACAAAATTCAGATTCTATTTGATTAATTGGTAAATTATTACAATATGTTTGTATTACAGAAGATGAATTTGGTGATTTTATGGGAACTAATAACCCAGCCTGTATAACAGTTGAAGAAAAACCTCCGTAAGTTTTAATGGTTGACCCCATAATTTAGAGTTCAAGATTTGAGAGACGATAAATAAATTTTCTGAAATGAATCCAGCTACCTATTTTTTATAGTTATAGAAATTTTCAGAAAAACTTGAGAAAAACAACATTTTTGTATGGTACATGTATTTTATTTGTTTCCTAATCAATATGTGTTTTTTGGGCTCTGCTGGATACAACCGTTGGCAGCGATCATACGTTGCTCTGGAAATGACCTGTCTGCTCACTCTCCCTACTGTCTAGTAACTGATGAATGTTTTATTGTTTTTATATAGATATGTGATCTCTGTACCAAAACCTGATCCAAAGATAATTGATCAAATGACGCCAGATGAAAAGTATAATTCTAATGTACAAAGTTTTTTTGGAAGTAGCGGTTCTTCAGGTAGAATTTTGATGCTATCATAGCCTACTGTATTCCCTTCCTTTTTAGATGGTAGTGGTCTTCGTTTTAGTATTGTCTAAACTTTCAGCAACTAGATAAATATGTTAAAGGCTATATTCTACTAAACATTTCCTATTCTGATATAACTTTTTAAAGATTAAAGTTCATTTATCAAATTTTGTAATTCAAAATTTAAGGACTTTTCTGAAAACAATAAGTTTAATTTTTGATTCATTTCATATATTTTGTATATGAATTAAGTGAATCTTTGGAAGATTAATATATTAAAATTTATTTAATTATGATCTGGATACTGTACATACTTTGAGATGAAATTTTATTTAGTAGGATTGTCTTTGCATACAAGCTACAGTAGATATTCCTTACCTATAATTCGCTGTATATTTAAGATTGACAATAAGAGAAAATATGTTCGAAGTTCAAATTTACAAACAAATAAAATTATTGTTGAAAGGTCAACATGCGAGTAGTGATATATGCTTACTCCTTTCAGTTTGTAATAATAACTGTGATATTTACATAGCACATTCTTCACACCAGTATCCTTAAAGCAAATGAAATGGGGTTTAACATCCTTTTGTTCTGCTCCGACTGGGATAATGAAGACAGTCATACACCATACAGTGTGTTTTATGAAGGAAATTTATGCTGGGCATCTGCACTATGGCCTACTCTTATATCGAATTCCAACTGCCAAGGGTTCTTTTACGTGCATGCCAATGTATACATGGGTCCTCGGTTTTTCATCCCATCTGAACAACTAGACAGCTGTCCTTATCCGTCTCTCCATCCTGTGCCTCCGACAAGGGGAAACCACGGCGGAAAATCCTGAAGAATTTTCTCGGCCAATGCAGTGATTTAACACGCAACCTCGAGACTAGCGAGCCAGCTTCTTACCTACTTAGCCAGTGTGGCTCCCTTAAAGCAAATAAGCATTGTTCTGAATGTGATCAATTAGTGTATAATACAAATAACTATGGTAAACCGCTAGACCACCCAATCCCCATTTTTACATGAGATTTAAACACAGATAGTAATTAAACAGATTGATTCTGAAAGTTCATTCTAAAAGCACTACATTTCGACAAGTTATCGTTATCAAGCACAAAAATACTGATGGCAATATTTCTGTATTTTCTGAAAGTGAATTCCATAACCCGAAAGGTTTTAGAGAACTTTTTGTGTACAGATGATAACTTTTGCTCAAAACTTTTGAGAATGATTTTGTTGATATGGTGCAATTAAAAGCTCCTGGAGGTAATTTGAAAGTTCGTACGATTATGACATGATTGTGTCTTATTATACATTCGAACAAATTTTCTGTTATTGTAAATTATATAGTTTACACCAAGATACTCTACATGATTACTCAGTCAGCCAAAAATCTGTATTATTCAAATACATATTGGTATTGATAAAGAGATAGGATAATTCATATATAGAACCTTTCTTCCAGTCTATCTTTGTTTAATATTGTAGAATGTAGATGTTAATATTGTGGGTATATTTTGAAACACAATAAGCAGAAAGATGAAGATGTTTATAATCAAATGCTATGGAAATTTTGACTTAGTTTGGCCATTTTGTTTTAAAAAAAAGTTTTAATAACAAAGCCTGCTTCGTATCTGCGTAATTTATTTAAAATGTATGTTTAAAAATCCCTGCATATCAGTTCAAAAACAAACTTTACACAGAAAACGTATGTTGTTTATTAATCATAACATTTGAGGTTAAAAGACCCTATATCAAATGATTGTTTTAAATAATCCTGTGATACTTTATACAATGGTGGTGACCTCACGGGATTTTGAAATTCATATTTATTAAAGATGTATAAAATCTACCTGAGGTTATCTGTCCATATCTTTCTTTTTCTGTATGCTCCATTGAATTAAAATCTTTATTATTTGAAAGGGAAGATTTTTCTCTGAGTTTTTCTGAATTATTTTGTCAGCACTGGTTTATTAACATCTACACCTTCTGTTTTTTTTTATTAATTTCTTGTCTTTTTTCTTGGTTTTTTCCTTTGTTAATTTATTTAATTTTTTTGTGGTTTTTGTTTGTTTTAGTATCAACTAATTTGCACCATATTCCAACACTAAAACGTTCACCGTTTAAAGGTACTTTGTATAAATTGGTTTATTTTTTGAAGAACATATAACATGGCCTTTTTGCAGCATATTACAGCACTAAAACATTCACCATGTAAAGGTTTTTGTACAAATTGGTTTATTTTTATACGCCCACATTTTCATGTGGATGTATATTGTCATCGCCCATGTCAATCTGGACGTCCGGACATCCATTCACAATTGTTTGTGGACACTCTACAGGTCACAGTTTTTATCCGAATTCAACAAAACTTGAAATATAGGTTTATCTCCCTAAGATCTTGCTTGCTTTCGATATTGGCATGTATCGGACCATAACGTCATGGATTATGGCCCCTGATTGTACGAAAAATCACGTTTTTAGCTTGTATACCCTATAGAGGTCACAATTTTTATCCAATTTTGTTGAAACTTGAATAGTAAGTTTATAACCCAATGATCTTGGTTCCTTTCAATAGTCGTGCTTATCGGACTGTAACTTCCTGAATTATGGCCCCTGATTGTACGAAAAATCACGTTTTTAGCTTGTGGTCCCTCTGGAGGTAACAATTGTTATCAGATTTAAAAAAATGTTCCAATATATAACCGTTACACCGGAATTTTGGTTGATTTCGAATTTAATTTGAATCGGGCCAAAACTGACGGACAAAATGGCCGGCCCTTGTACGCAAATAGTGTATAACATCTGGTATATCAAGGTTGTGGAACCTCAAGAGGTCACAATTTTGATCGGATTTTGATTAAACTGGAAATACATGTTTATAACCCAAAGATCTTGGTTCTTTTCGGTATTCGCGCGTATTGGATCGTAATTTCCTGAATTATGGCCCTTGGTTGTACAAAAAATCGCGGTTTTAGCTTGTGGTCCCTCTAGAGGTCACTATTATTATTCGATTTAAAAAAAACGTTCGAATATATCACCATTACATAGGACAAAATGGCCGCCCTTGTACGCAAATAGTGTATAGCATCTGGTATATCAAGGTAATGGACCCTCTAGAGGTCACAATTTTGATCCGATTTTGATGAAAGTTGACATACATGTTTATAACCCAAAGATCTTGATTCCTTTCAATATTCGCACGTATCGGATCGTAACTTCCTAAATTGTGGCCCTTGATTGTACAAAAAATCACGTTTTTAGCTTGCAGTCCCTATAGAGGTCACAATTTTATTGTGAATATATCACAATTACACACTAAGATCTTAGCTCCTTTTGATGATCGCGCATATCTGAACGTAACTTCCTGGATTATGGCCCCTGATAGTTCGAAAAATCCCATTTTTAGCTCACAGATTCTCTAGAGGAATCAATTTTTTTTTCCGATTTTAAAAACCGTTTAAATATATCACCATTCCACCATAGTAAAGGTTGAATTTGAATTTCGGGAAAATCAAAATGAAACTGTCCAACAAAATGCAATACGAAGGTTATGGCCCTCTAGAGGCCACATTTTTTATCCGATTTTGATGAAACTTAAAACATATCTTTATATCTCAAAGATCTCAGTCTCTGTTGATATTTACGAATTTCAGACCATAATTGCCCCTGATTGTACAAAAAATCCCATTTGTTTTTAGCTTGTTCTCTATCCATCTCTTGCAAAATGTGGGCGTATCCTGCCAGGCAGCTGCTGGTTTTGATAACATATAACTTGGCCTTTTTGCAGGTTTGTTTTATTAACTTATTTTTAGATAATTTGATTTTATTAGAAGTATTAAGGGACATATTTGGTCTGTCTGACTAATTAGTAATATTCTAAAATGATATGCGTGTGCTGAAAGTTAATTTTATGTATGTCTTTTTGTTTAGTAAACCGTTGTTACTTTATTTAATTTTAATTGTGATAAACTTTTATTAAACAAGAAGAAACAAAACTTGTTAACCAAAGAGAAAATAATGTTTTTCCTATCTTTGGATTGGACAAGTTTTAAGAATGCTTTTTCTGGTTTGGACCATGTTTAAGAATATTTCTTCTGGTTGGGACCATGTTTAAGAATATTTCTTCTGGTTTGGACCATGATTAAGAATATTTCTTCTGGTTTGGACCATGATTAAGAATATTTCTTCTGGTTTGGACCATGTCTAAGAATATATCTTCTGGACCATGTTTAACAATATTTCTTCTGGTTTAGACCAGGTTTAAGAATATTTCATCTGGTTTGGACCAAGTTTATTACTATTTCTTCTGGTTTGAACCAATTTTAAGAATATTTCTTCAGGTTTGAACCAGTTTGAAGCAAGTTTGAAAATATTTCTGGTTAAAACCAAATTTATTCTGTGGCATTGTGGGCAGTTTGGCTATATACTTTTGCTCTATGTTACTTAAGAATATTTTTTCTGGTTTGAGCCAATTTTAAGAATTTATTCTGTGGCATTGTGGGCAGTTTGGCTATATACTTTTGCTCTATGTTACTTAAGAATATTTTTTCTGGTTTGAGCCAATTTTAAGAATATTTCTTCTGGTTAAGACCAAGTTTTTCTGTTGCGTTGCGGGGTTTGGCTTTATATTTTTGTTTTTGGTTTGCAGAATATATGTCATTTTGTTTTGGTTTTACCGAACTTACCAAGATTTCTTTTACTAGTCTTCAGGAAGAATTCTATTAAGAGTCAAGCATGAAATCGAAAATTATTAGCCCAGGAGTTTGCTGTTACAATTAAAAGCATAATATTAATTTATGTCTTTGCACTGTCTGTTTTATACCATTGTAAATGTACAGAATTCCAATATATCATTGATGTATTATTGTATATGATTTTAACGTGTGCCTAAGTTGGTACCATCAATGTCTGTTTGGCTTGGTTCCTATGCCGTCAGGTAGAGGTTGTCATGACTACAAAGCATTCATCTACATTGTTATTTATATCTGTCCTGTAGTGCCTGCTTTTCTAGTTTCAGTATATTTTATGTATACTCATTCTCTCTTTAGCTTATATTATTTTCTTGTTATATATGTATATACATAGATATTTAATCATTTATTACACCTGTCTCTCATGTATTGAAAGAAAGTTTAGGAAGAATTATTGCAGTTTTATGAATCGGTAATCCCTTTCATAAAATTCTACTTAAAGATGGTGATCCATTTTTCGGAGGATATCTATTCACTTTATATTTTAAGAAACAAAACTAAAATATAAAAGCTAGATAATCTTGCATCTTTGTTTCGATCAGATAAAACAGGGGCTCTTCATTTTTTTAAATCCTACACTGAATGCAGTTGATAGATTTTTGGATTGATACCGGTACTTATTCCTTTTAGAGATTCAGTTTTCACATTTGCCAGGGATTCCAAATAAAATTTTTGATTAAATATATTTGAATTTAATTGTATTCTGAATTAGAAATCTATGCAGTATTTGTATATTTCTAAGATAAGGTCACTTTATATTATTACATCACTGTGTCGTCTCAGTGTATGAGGGAGAAAACTTGTCCCCTGACCACAATGAATGTGAATTAACTGTTGTCATTAATATTTTAGGCCATACAACTCCCAACAGTCTAGATGAGGAGTATTACACTGATTGTCGTGACAGTACAAGTCAGTTGAGTACCTCTGAGCAATCCGAGAGTGAGGATATTAAAAATTTTGAAACGTATGTCGAAGAATTTAATCGCAAGAAAGAAATGCTTCATCCAGAGAGTCCCTTACACAATCCATTTCCAAGGTTACCAGTTGTTCAGCAGACATCCGCAGATGTGGTTATTCCCCCTTTGCCACCAGTTCGATCTGGTTTACAACTCAGTTCTGAAGCCACATCTTCAAGAGAATTCACAGACTTTAAATCAGCTCCCGTTAAAACAGCTGCACAAGATTCAGATCCAGATTTTGCCGATTTTCAAGCAGCGCCAAAGTCTTCAGGATCAGAACCAAATCTTTTAGGGGAAGAGGATAAATATGGTGCTTTAAGATCATTAGTTATTGAGGAGCCTGCTTCAACCAATGAAGCAACAGCTACAAGTGAGCCTGTTACACCTTTTGCTCAGTTTGGTGAGGAATGTGACCAGAATGAAAGTGAGGGTGAGTGGGCAGATTTTGCCAGTGCTGTTCCAGAAGAGGATACAAACACAAAAACTTCAGACAAAAATACATTAAATTTAATTGCAGATAATGTTGAAAGTGACTGGGCTGATTTTGGCGACACTAAAACTCCAACAGCTGGTGCAGTAAATGATGAACCTTCCTGGAATCCCCCTGCTTCAAGTTTCCTTGGAGCACCTGCAATAAAATCCGACATAACAGCCAAATTAGTTCAAAATGCGCCAGCGAACAGTCTATTTCCGAGTGTTGCAATAAAAACAGAAAATACTGATGAAGATTGGAGTGATTTCTCAGGAGCTGCATCAAATGATCAGCGGACACCAATCCCCAGTGAAAATACAGATGATGATTGGTTCAACACGCCTGTCTATTCTGATACTAGCTTATCCAGTAACAGTGTAGTCACAGTCAAAAAGTCTCATTTACAATCTGATGAAATTATGGGGATGTTCAAGGTACGTGATGATCCAGGAACACAAGCTAGCTATAAATTACCCAACCTGGAACAGAAGGTCAACAAATTTCGGCAACCTTCATTGGATGATGACAATGACAATGACCCTCCACCTTTGGATTACCTTGACGATGATGAAGATCATGGATTCTCTCGTGGTTACGATTTGGATGAGTATAATAGCCCCTCCCCTATTGGTGGCTATGGTTATGGAAATGGTAACAAAGGTATGTTTTTGAATCAGGTTGCAAAAAAAGTTGCTGAGAAACGTCTGGATGACAGGGACAGAAGTAGCCTCTCCCCAGAGACTGAAGATGATGCTAACAGCTATTCTTCTAAAGATACAGATAGTTATAACTGGAAAGACAGATCCAAACAACTTCGGGAAGATTCACAGTCTGTTTGTAGTCTTGAATTACCAGCTAAAGGTAAGCTGAATTAAATATTTAAGTAAGCTTATTGGCAATCTGATTGAAATGAGAAAATGATTTATCTGATTCTTACATTATATTGTATTATCTAATCATCTACTTTATATCAGATCAAGGATATACATGTACATGTAACCCCTAAACCATGGGGCCTGACAAGGACAGCTGTCTAGTCCTTCGGATGAAACGGAAAACCGAGGTCCCGTGTGTACATTAGAATGCACGTAAAAGATCCCTTGGCAGTTAGAATTCGATATAAGAGTAGGCGATAGTGCCGCTGCCCGAGCAAAATTTCCCTCATAGCACACTGTATGGCGTATACCCATCTTCATTAGCCCAGCATAGGAGCAGAACAGTAGGACGTTAAACCCCATTTCATATCATTTCATTTTATTAAACAGGCATTATGAAAGAGCTAAATCTGACTATTGCACGTCTTTCTATAGGCCTGAAATGTTATATATATTATTAATTAGACATTAATTAACTTACCAAGATCATAGTCAACTCTTGATGCCATTGGATAGCTTCAATATCAGTAGATTTAAATGCCTTTTGTGCTGGATGCGGTTATCGTAAAAATGGATAACCAAGACTTTGTTTATTATTGTAACAATGGTAGTAATGATAATCGAGACTAGGATATAATTGTATTGCTGATATCTAGGCTCATATTGACATAATTTGACTGAAATTTTCAGGAAATTCTTATTTCATTATCTATAAATTATATATTATAGCGAGAACTGTGAGCTTTAATGCCGCTTTGAAAAAATTATCTTGAAATGAAAAGTTTACTAAGTAAGATAGAAGATATTTTGTTTGCATAATTTCTCATCAGATCACCATTGATTTATTTTAGGTAATTCACTAAAAACTAACTCTGATAATGGTGGTAGCGATAGCCAATCTGTGTCCAGTATGGAATTTTGTAATTTTGAAGGATCTTCAAAAACGCCAGTCAGTGCTGAATCCAAATCTCTTGATAGTCTTGATTTTCCTCCCGATGGCAATGACAACGAAGGTGTTGAAGTAACAGATGTAGAAAATACAGGTAATACAAGCCTTGTTGAATAGCTTAAAACTTTTACTTTTGCAGACAATATTATAGCGTGGGTTAGTTAGAACATTGTGATTTGAGGGAGAGTAGAGCTTTTATAAGACAAGAATGGGTTGGAGTAGTTTTTATAAGAGTGGGTTGTTAGAGAAGTGTGTTTTGAGGGATAGTTTTTATAAGAGTGGGTTAGAGTAGTGTGTTTTGAGGGATAGTTTTTATAAGAGTGGGTGTGAGGCGTTTCTTTTGAGGGATAGAGTAGTATTTTGAGGGATAGTTTTTATAAGAGTGGGTTAGAGTAGTGTGTTTTGAGGGATAGTTTTTATAAGAGTGGGTTAGAGTAGCGTGTTTTGAGGGGGAGTATAGTGATGTAATGGTGGGTTAGAGTAGTATGTTTTGAGGGGGAGTATAGTTTTGGGAGAGAGTAGAGTGGGTCAGAGGCAGCAAATGAGCATTGTGCTTGTAGGGAGAGTACCTGTGGGTGAAAGAACTGTGTTTGGTGGTAGTGTACAAGTGCACTTCTTGTATCATTTCTTGATTGTTAGAGGATAAATAAATGAAAATGGGAATCTTGTTTGTTGACATTTATCTATTCGTAAAGTTAACAATTAATCAACATGAATTACAGCATAACAAACATGAATTACGGCATAACAAATATGAATTACAGCATAACAAATATGAATTACAGCATAACAAATATGAATTACAGCATAACATTAATGTAACAATGAGTTAAGAATCTTGGTACAAATGCTTAATAGTAGATAAGCTCCAATATATGGGATTTCACATAAATATGTGTCTCCAAATATCCAAACACCAGTACATAACACCAACTGTGAGAATAAAAATTATTTAGATTAACTAAAACTATCTTTGGTGGTAGAGTAGGGTGGATGAAAGAACTGTGTTTTGTGGAAGAGTAGTGTGAGTGAAAGATCTGTCTTTGGTGGTAGAGTAGCGTGGATGAAAGATCTGTGTTTCGTGGTAGAGTAGCGTGGATGAAAGAACTTTGTTTGGTGGTAGAGTAGCATGGGTGAAAGAACTGTGTTTGGTGGTAGAGTAGTGTGGGTGAAAGAACTATGTTTTGTGGAAGAGTAGTGTGGGTGAAAGATCTGTCTTTGGTGTTAGAGTAGCGTGGATGAAAGCTCTGTGTTTGATGGTAGAGTAGAGTGGATGAAAGAACTGTGTTTGGTAGTAGAGTAGAGTGGATGAAAGAACTGTGTTTGGTGGTAGAGTAGTGTGGGTGAAAGAACTGTGTTTGGTAGTAGAGTAGAGTGGGTGAAAGAACTGTGTTTGTGGTAAGAAAAGTGTGAGTGAAAGAATTGTGTTTGGTGGTGGAGTAGTGTGGGTGTTTGGTGGTAGAGTAGCGTGGGTAAAAGAACTGTGTTTGGTGGTATAGTAGTGTGGGAGAAAGAACCATATTTGGTATTAGATTGGGTTAGAGTGTTTTGTGGGGTAGAGCATAATTCTTTGCATCTTTTAGATCTGCAGGATTTAGATTTCAAGATTGTGCATGCCTTTGTTCTTTTCCACTAGTGTTTTCCATTTCCTGTTACTTATTAAGATGTCCCAAATGACAAAATTCAAAAGTGATAAAATATGACTTTAACTAAGTAAAGAACAGCCGAAATTTATTGTTATGAATGACATTACACCTATTTTGTTTTATTCATTAATGCACTAAAACCTGCTTGATTACTTCACACCAGATATAAAAAGTAGGCCAGGTTGATGTGTTTAAACACCTAGATGTGGTATTTAGCACCTTTAGACATTGGCTATACAAGAGTGATACATAGAACCCAAATTCTAGGGTTGTGACTTTAAACAATTGTTGAAAGATAATGCTATTGTTTAATTTTGTTCATTGATGCACCGAAAAGAAGTTGATTACAAACTAACTAGGGTGGCTTGGTGTTTTTCACACATACAGTGTATATCTGATATTTAATAGGTTTAGGTATATAATCAATATTAACATATGTTACATATTTATATATATTTTATATATAAAATACTTTATGATAGTATATATCTGTAGTTTTATCATGGATAATATTTACATTATATCAATGTATATCTTTATAACAGTATAAGGTAGGACAAAATATTAAAGACTGGGAATAGTGGGTCGTAAATGTTTTTGTTTCAACTCATGTTTCTAACTCATTACACATAAGGTTAACCGCAAACATTTTATGAACTTTTGATGTAATATGGAAAAAGACTGACATTGTTTTGAATTACAATAAGCTACATAAAATTGAGTTGATAATAGGTAAGTTGTATCCCCCATGACCCAGTTCCATAAACATTTCTGGAAATATTGTCATCTTTCTTTATATATGTTTAAAATTGATGTGTTGTAACAAAATCATTCTACATTACTCTGTTTCTGAAAGGTTTTGTAATTTTGAATCCATTTTTTCTTGTTAGCCAATTAGCATAACAGATCAAAGGTTAATCACAGCAACTACCATGAGAATAAATTATTGTTTGTATAATTGTAGGTATTGTAAACAGCAGTAATAGTACAAGTAATAATATGTCTCAGACGACATTACCTGGTGGTGTAATAAAGACATTAGTTGATAAATATAATATTACAGATGAAATAGTGGTACGTTACATTTTAATCTTATATCTTATAGATTCCACTCACCTGTCAAAAAGTCATAACACTTTGTTTTCCATTTTATTAAAGTTGCTATTGTGTAAGTTGAATCCCTTAAAGGAATATGGTTCAATTACGTTCAGTATTTTCAAAGATATATATGATCATATCTAACGCAACTGATGTAAGTGCTACATGTATATCAAACAAACAAGTAACTGACAACAAACAGTTGACACGCAGCATCCTCTGTAGATAATATAAACAAACCAGTGCCACCTATGTTTTGATGAGCTCTAAAGGCAAAAGTCATCATCAGATTACCTACAAAAGTATAAATATTTGACATCCTTTGTGGATAGTTCAGATAAGATCTGGCTGCTGTGGATATAATTTGTTGCGCTGAGATCTGAAAGCTATGAATTTGTACCTTTCTGTATTTTAGACTAGTGACCGGTATAGTTATGAATGGGAGAGATGTTTAGACAATTGCTGGAGAATGATCAAAGATTCTAACACTATATTTAATTCTATCAGTTCATCCAGTGTATGTAATGAAGTTTTAAAATCATCCCAAGGATCATCCTATATAACTGGTAAGTAAATACAGTAGTCCTTATAAGAATACGTTTACTGCAGTAATATAGGAAAAATACCAAAAGTTACAAAATTGATTCAACCTTGAATGAAGTCTGACAATAAATTTTATAAGCGGGGTTTTATAGTATATGGTTTCAAGATATATATATTAAAAAATATACATATACAAACAAACAAATGATGTAGGCTTAAATATTTACAAGAGTTTATATACGATACTCTATCTCTATGTAATTAGAGGTACATAATAATATATATGGATTACCAGACAGGTTTAGCTAGTTACATCTATTTATATTTAGTAAATGAACATGTTCAAAGCAAACATATATAGTGCCGGTGGGCTTCAGTATACGAGTGAGCGTAAAGTCTAATATAGACCGTCCTCTATCTGAGAGAATACGATCATATCTAACAGGTTTAGATAGTTACATCTATTGATATTTAGTAAATGAACATGTTCAAAGCAAACATATATAGTGCCAGTGGGCTTCAGTATACAAGTGAATTTAAAGCCTAGAATATAGACCATCCTCCAACTGAGCAAATACGATCATATCTAAGGCAATTGATGTGGATGCTAGGCATACATCAAACAAACCAGCAACTGACAACTAAGAGTTGTCTCAAGTTTTTCGTGAGCGAACATTAGCATTTACTTTCGGGAAGAAGTCAAGTTTTCTGTCGGTCATGTGATATAATTAAACAATATAGCAGTTACTACTAATGATAGACCCAGTAAATCAACCAACCTGTTTCTAGTAACTAATGCTTCCAGTCACCCCTAAATTCCTTGCAACGTACCCAGTCGAAAGCTCATTCTGAAATATGCCTAATCATGGCTCCATAGCTCCATACAGTAAAGCACTTGTATGCTATATTAAAAGGGCCTCTTTAGTGATATCCTGAATCATAATGTTTTGGAACTTTAGTGAAATACACACAACTATAGAAGTTGAGCATGCTAGCAATTTAATTATGCAACTCAGAAGAGTCATACTAAATTTTTTATATTTTGTATATTTTATAGGTATTGTAGAGATTTACAGGGTAGCTTGTAGAGTTATGACTGCAATGAAAGCACATAGTAAGTACTACAAATATTTTATACATAGCCCATGGGCCTCTTTCCCGAAAGATAAGTTTAAATTTGCCAATCCAGATCATGCATTTTTTTAGACAATATACATCTTTACATGCTAAAATGTATTTAAAGATACATTATTCAAGAGCTAAATTTGCCTATTGTAGGTCTTTCTTTAGGCCTTAGATGTTATATAAATATTAATTAGACATTTATTAACATGATAAGACCATAATCAACTCTCGATGCAATCGGATGCTCAAGATTTTAACTAGATTAGAACGGATCAGCCATATTTTGATTTAATTTAAAAATGGAGAAGCGAGGTGAAGTCTCAATAAACAATTAATGCACACATGTGGACAAAACTACAAACAGTGATAACTTGGCTCAGAATAAAATAATTTAAAAAAAATTTTCAATATGTTCGTTTTGTATTGTATATTTATGAACTATTATAGCAAGAATGGTCACCTCTTTATCTAAATCTTACATAATGTATCTTTAAATTTATTATTTAACATTTAATATAAATCTATAAAGTTTATAGATATATAGTATAAACAGAGATAATCTCCTGGCCCATGTTATTAATCAGGATTGAACTTACACAATATTGTAAATTTCAAGTAATTCAGTATATAATGACAATCATCGGCTCGATGTGTCTAATGTAAACAATTTTTGTGATGTAATTTAGATCTGGATCGGGCTCTATGTGTCTAATGTAAACCATTTTTGTGATGTAATTTAGATCTGGGTCCTCCTGGCCCGTGTTCATTAATAAGGATTGAACTTACACAATATTGTAAATTTCAAGTAATTCAGTATATAATGACTATCGTCGGCTCTATGTGTCTAATGTAAACCATTTTTGTGATGTTATTTATATCTGGGTCCTGTTTCTCGAAATCTAAACTAAAGATAAAGTCCAAATTTTAGTAGATACTACAATTTTGATTGGCTAAGCACTAAAATCAATCTAATATTATCCAATCAAATTACTAAAATTTGGATTTTATCTTTGTTAAAATTTCGTGAAACAGGTCGTCCCAGGATGGATTTTACTGCTTTTTAATGATAGATAGCTCTTGCCTTATTTAATGTTCCATGTAATTTTGGGCAAAATTTATTGAAACAAATTAATGATTCTATTACAGATCTGACAACACCCCCTCTAGAGAGATTGTTAAAAGATATAGATTTAGCCTGGAATAATTTAACAGCATTCTTTGTTGGTGCTTCTGTTTTGGTAAGGTTCTATGTATAGATATAATTTTAATTACCAGTGTGCTTTCACAGAAGGGTGTTGGATGGCCGAATGGTTAGCACTTGGCACTGTATCATAAGGTCTGTCATTGAGTCAACTGGCGTGGTTTCGAATCCCTGGTTGTATGTGACAAGGAGTAGGGTCGCCTGTCGAACCTCATGCGTTTTGTCCTGGTTCTCCGGTTCCCCCCCCCCCCCACTGCTAAAGTTGAACCATATGTTAGTCCCGAAATGACCTAGTTCATGTCAAGTGGACGTTAAACTCCATTTCACTCTCTCTCTCTCTCTCACACTTTCACAGATGTAGTTGACATGTTATCAAATTTCTGTTATCAAGTACAGAGTTTACTAAATTTCTGCAATTTGTCTGGTTGTCTTTTTATGTATACTTTGTTCCAAATACATGTATATTGAGAACTGAAAAAAAATAATATAGCAAGTTTATTATTATCATTGATTTAAAACGAAGTCTATTATCTAACAGCTAACTAAATCTTTACTTAAACTGACCAGATATCAAATCTATATTTTTTTTTACTTCATTTTCTTTTTCAGCCGGACATCAAAGCATTTGATTTTAAGTTTGGTGTAATGAAATCTGATTCTGAAGAAGCTCAATTCAATGCATGTGGAGTCTGCCTTTTAAATGTTGATGTAAAAATAAAAGCAACTTGGTGTGATGAAGATGTGACCAAATTAACGTATGGAAGACGACAGTATCATGCCCCATGTGCTAATTTCTGGGTGAATTGTGTGGATTCTACTTTACCAGGTTTAAGATTACCAGAATTACTGTGATAATAACAAAAGTTCGTTCAAATTACTTTACCTAAATATCAGTTCCAGAGTTTATCAAAATGGAGACCTAAGAGTTATCTTTGCAGTGTCGTGACAGAGGAGCTATTTTAAAAACAAAATGGAGACCTAAGAGTTATCTTTGCAGTGGTGTGATAGGGGAGCTATTTTAAAAACAAAATGGAGACCTAAGAGTTATCTTTGCAGTGTCGTGACAGAGAAGCTATTTTAAAAACAAAATGGAGACCTAAGAGTTCTCTTTGCAGCGTCGTGACAGAGGAGCTATTTTAAAAACAAAATAAACACTGGTAAACCTGATTATAAAATAATGGTCCTGTCACATATCAATGCACTGTATATTTGTCAAGCCTTCCTTCATCTTGGACTCCTACCTCGGCCATTACTCAGAGTCAAGTTTCAACAAACAAGCTTTCTATGGTAAATATAGCAGTGAAATCCAAGTATAGTCTGTAAATAAGAACAGAGTTTCTTCTTTGATTGGCATTTAGTAATTGAACATATCAACACAGGGTACAATTTTATGGATGCACAATTACTGAGTTTAATACTAAGCGACGTTTCGACAAGGATCTCTCGTCTTTGACAAGTAAATAATACAGGTATGTGAATACAGAATATGCAACAATATGTATTTGTTTGTTATTTTTGTTGCATATTCTGTATATATTTGCCTACTATTCACATACCTGTATCATTTGCTTGATAAAGGTGAGATTATCCTCGTCAAAACGTCGCTTAGTATTAAACTCAGTAATTGTGCATCCATAAAATTGTACCCTGTTTTAAGAACAGTGTTATTTGCCTTGGGACATATTGTAGTTCTTCATAGAACTTTGTTTTAAGAATATTTCTCACATTCCTTATTCAAACTGTATGTTTTATGTGGATTTTGAGTGAATTTTCCACTGAACAGCATTATTCAAAAGAAAGGGGTGATTCGGAGCAGGAGCACCCAGAAAAAGAATTAATTGAGGTGATTGGGGGCACATGTATCTAGGAAATGAGGAGGCTTGGGATACAAAAAACCTAGGAAAATGGATATTGGAGTCAGAGAAATTTAGGAAACAGGAATATTAGGGCACAAGCACCTAGGAAATGGGTCGATTGGAACACAAGCTCCTACAAAAGGGGAAGACTGGGAGCATGCCGGCAATGACACCCAGGAAACTGAATGACTGGGGCACAGGCAGCCAGGTAAAGAGGATTGTAGTATTAAATGTTAATATAGACATTTTACACACAAAAGGGGGATAATATCAATACAGAATAAGTTACCATAGTCAGTTTCCATTTAGTAAATTCAATGTTTATTGGAATTGTGGTTTTGTGAATGAATCCCCCTAGTAATAGAATTTATTTCCATGGATGTTACGATGAACAATTAGCTCCGCTGAAGTTAAAGATGCCTTCCTATGTAGAGACTGGGTGAGTTGATGATATTGTTAGACTAAAAACATATTCAAACTAATTTGATTCAAATCCCTCTCAAAACATTGTATTTGGGAGGAAATACCCCAAGATATAAAAAATTTATTTATAGAAGCCATGTTTGTCAGGTAACTTGATTGAGGGAGGGCCCAAATTCAGAATGTATTTGTCGTTACTTACTGTCCACTTGCCATACATATTGAAGCCTAAGTAAATTCTTGGATTATCTTCTGACGACTTCTTTTTCCACTGTTTAATTGTAAAGCCTGTTGTACATGTACCTATAAACCCCATAATGTTCCCAATAACAACCGCTCCCTATGTCAAGCTAGCAGACAATAAATTGTAATACCCTGACATTTTTGCCCAGTCTTGCCCCATTGGTGTTTTTCATACAATCCAGCATTTTTCTAGTAAGATTGGGCGTCTCAACTTTTCATATATACCAAATTTGCCATACTGTTTTTATTGGAAATAACCACCCGATAAATACTTTTGTGGGAGTATATCTTTAATAGATCACTTAGTGCAACTAGAAAACTTTGTATTGAATTTAAAATATGTGTAAGCTCACAATAAATACAACAGAAAAGAAGACTAATCCTTTCAACTCAAATGTTTGCAGATGACTGATCATGGTGATAAAATTCACCTGTCACTAAGATAATATAGTCTAAGTAGTTTTGACATACATGTAGTTTTTAATTGATTGTTATGAAAGTTTAGGTCAACGGTCAAAGGAATATTATCTTTAGATATGAAAAGTGTTTATATTTTGTGATATTCTAAGATTTCCATTAACTTTAAGTGTTTTAGTTGTATATTATAAGAACAAATGTAAATATATATAAATGCACATTGTACTGTTTTTGTTTTGTATATATTACTTATTTATGTATATATATTGTATGTGCTTAGCTTTAAAATACTGTGGTGTAAAGTTTTCAAATTTAATATATAAACAAAAAAATGTATATATAATTTATTGAAATACAAATTATTTTATATAATCATGTGTATATATATGTATATATCTTAGGTCAAGGGCACAGCAAATATATTTGTTCACTTAGTAGTGGATTCTTCTCAGCAACCTGATCACTACTGCTTCATTCATTTTCACAATCTGATTAAAATACAGATCTATATTTCGTTTCGTTTTTTTATACTTTCGATTTTCTACACTTCATGAAAATCTGTAGTGGAAGGTCGCATCAGGGGTTGTACGAGCGGCTTTTGACCCTATGACGTCAGACATTGATTAATCGATCAGCGTTGACGTTTCTAGTGGGTTACTCACAGTTCCCTGCATCCCACACTAAGAAGTTCCCATAACACATCATTTCATTGGCTAATCCCTCACTTCAACCCGAACACGGGTTATATAACAACTCTTCCAGATCCTAGTGTTGTGAAGACAAGAAAAATGAAATTTTGAACTATAAAAACGAAATGAAATATGATCTGCGTTTAAATCAGATTGTCATTTTCACAGAGTAAATATCATATTTATGAATAATAACTACATGTATACAAAAGTACCACAGAAATTGTTGTCTGTGTAAACTTACAAAATCAATTTCAGAAGTGGAATCAGGTACCTACTAATAGCTTCATGAAGAGCATTCAATTACATATTAATATTAAAATGTAAGCTTATATGTTTTATCACCAAATAATACAATTCTAGTAAATTATTTAGATTTTTCACTACTTTCAAGTATTTTTCAAGGTGTGGAAATATCGGAGGTATTTATTTTTAAATTCCTTGATCAGTTCTTTTTGATAAGTATGCATATTGATTGATATAATTGAGGTATAGCAGGGCCGGCCTTTAGGAGCTGTGGGCCCAATTAGAAACATTTTTGGTGTGTCCAAAGGTTGGCTAGCAAAATCTGTTTTAGTGAAATGATTTATTGAAAATGATCAGAAATCGCTACTTATGACTACTTAGGTTTAAAATGTACTTGGGTATGAGGCAGTTTACCCAAGCATAGGCCCCTACAAACAAAGTCCTGTTGGAAGCAATTGGTCTATTTTGCTTAAGATAACCACCTACTACAGTTCTATGAATAAATAAGAGTACTGAAAAGTAAATGAGAATGCTCAGAAGAGTAATTTAATTCAATTTTCTGGTGTTTGTCACATATTAAGATGTTTTGTTCTGTAATATATTGTAAAGATATGGTAAATCTTTGTTTAAACCTTGTTATTTTCATCCTGTTGTATTATTGTCTGTATTTTTTGTCAAATATTAAAATAACTTTAAATAGAAGTAGAGGTGTCTTTTCCTACTTCTTTAATACTATTTGGTTTGTGCATCTAGTCAGACACTGGTCGGTTTAGTGTATGACGGCTATTACCCACAATTGGTCGAAAGTTATGATTTGAGGTTAATAAATGAGAGAGGGAGAGAGAGTTTAAGTCCACTCGACACAAACTAGGTCATTTCGGGACTAACACATTGTTCAATTGTATTTCTATAATTCACTTGTGGTAGGAAACCGGAGGACCCAGAGAAATCCCACGAGGTTGGACAAGCGACCCGACTCCTTGTCACGTGCAACTGGGGAATCGAAACCAGCCCAGTTGACTCAATGACAGACCTTATGATACAGCGCGCACGTGCTAACCATTCGACCCCCCCCCCCCCCTTAATAAATATAACAGTTGAGCGATCGAGAGTGCAGGTAAAATACTTCCGACAGGTCGTCATTCGTAAGACTTTTTTATACGCTCATTTAAAACAATTGCTGCGTGAGACGTAACACCACGTGTGTTTAAAATCGGGTAATTAGAGATTAACAATAAACTAAATTCATCATCAATCCTCACCTGTGAAGGGAGCATTCCCCATCAACATTTTAAGGACATTTTATGCGATTTTATTGGCGATTTTTAGACCTGTAATTTTGGAATTTACCTTCCGGAAATACGTCAGAATGCATAAAATTGAATCCAATTTACCAAATTTTTCTAGGGGAGAGCCCCCAGACCCCCCGTTACAACGTTAGTTAAGCAATTATCAAACCTAGACCCCCCCCCCCTGCGTCTGTTACTTGGGTATTGGACATAAATGGAGATTGTTGTAACAGGTCAATTGCCGTCATACTTCTTGGATATTAATTATCTATTTGCAAATATAGGATTTTTGGTTAATTAATTACATGTACTGTCCTGGAACATGCAAGCTGGCTCAGTGACGTCAAATGGTTACTAATCCAACTTTATTCAAATTTTTGGTACCCATCGTGCGTAACTGTTAGAAACATACCATCTAACTTGTATTTTCTTGCACTACTATTTTATAAACAGTTTAGAAAAATACCGGGTTATTTACCACAGAACGTCAAGTCCAAATAAGGGCTAAAAACCGATCGTACATTTCTTGAATACTCAGCATAGACATACGTTGACAGAGTCAAAGGTGCTTCAATTTTGATTTGGCTGCCGTGACTGGGTAGCACTTCACTTCATGAAATCGTTAATGACGGGATGTGTCATATAGAGAAATGAAATGAAATGGGGTTTAACATCCCACTGTTCTGCTCCAAACTGGGCTAATGAAGACGAGCATACGCCATACAGTGTGCTATGAGGGGAATTTTGCCCGGACAGCGGCACTACGGCCTACTCTTATATCGAATTCCAACTGCCAAGGGATCTTTAACGTGCACGCCAATGTGTACACAGGACCTCGGTTTTTCGTCCCATCCGAACGACTAGACAAATGTCCTTGCCAGGCCCTCCGTCCTGCATCACTGACAAGGGGGAACCACGCCAGAAAATCCAGGCTAGCGAGGCAGCGTCTTACCCACTTAGCCATATATAGAGTTAAATACAACACACAATAAAGATTGGTTAGCATATGTTTACTATCCAAATCAGAAGTGGCATCGGATGTTCTAGAAAGACCAGAATTACAACTGGTTTATGTGGTGGAGTGCTGTCAAACTACAGTAATTTTGAAGATCTTTCATAGTAGCCGTTTATATATACATGTATCGGGTTTGTTCAGGCTCACACCCCCCCCCCCCCCCCGCCCCTGTGAAAAAATTGTCGGCCATTAAAAAAATAGATATACATTGTCCGTTAATTTTACAACATTCCTGAGAAACTTCCAATCCCCCTCGTTACTCTGTGCTAGTTACGGGTTTGCGTTCATTGGAATCCATTATGGTACCGATTTTCAGTCACGACGAGTCTCCTATTCACCAAAAATATCGAATTCCCATCCCGTTGAGATTAGTCAAATCATGTTGACAAAATTCAACCATTTCGTTTGCTACCTCAAAATACATCATGCAATGTCATAAATTAATAATGAAACATATTCGAAACCAAAAAAAAAGTTTATTGTCAAACGTACAAAATTACAAATCTTAAAAAAAAAACATTGCACAACATTCTGTTAAACATGACCTAAGATTTCACAAATCAATTTTGATTTTCAAATTAAAGTAAGAATAAAATATTCAAGCTACTAGATTCCCTCCCCTATCAATAAAACCCAACCCGATTAATTTTAAAACGATGTAATGTAAACTGTTGCGTAATCAGGATTTCCGAAAATGGTCGTGAACTTGATTTCGAAAAATATTAACAAAGAGAAAGGCATATGAACAATTTAAATTCTTGAAGGTCAATCTTTCTTTTATTATAAGGCCCCTATTGTTTTGGGGGGCATCACATGACATGGTTAATAACTCTGTTCCCTATATAGCCCCCCCCCCCCTGCATTATTTGCAATAGCAAATCTTTGTACATTACCGGTAAATAACAAATAAATAAAATTCAATAAAACATATTTGAATAAAATGAAATAATAATTTACAATAAATATAAAACAATTCAGATTTACACGATATAAAATATATATTTACAAAATGGTTTTCCGAAGAAAAGAAATGCCCATGGTCATACCAAGAGTTAGTCTCGAATACCAGACTTTACGTCATAGTTTAACTGTACATATTTTATCAAATATCAATCAATAATTGTACTCTCCATATTTGTACATCCGCATATACCGTACCAAATTCCCGGTATAGTAGTCTAGGTCAACCAGCGACTCTCGGACCAATGTCCCCAGGACCTCATATTAGCCGAGAGAGCGCAGACAATATAGTTCTGGGTAATGGAGACTAACCATGGAAATAACATAAATTGAAGACGAAAACATAAAATCGCGAAATGTCACAAAATAAATTATCGAGGCTCGTTCCCACAACTGTTCTTGAACCAAGCTGCACTATATGTTTTAGGATAACCATCTTCTACAAATCTTTTATCTGGGTTGAATTTTCTATACCTGCAAAATAACAAAAACATAAATAAATATAAGGGAACGAGAGAAGTACAAAATATAAAAACTGTGGCAGGATACGCATTACTGTAGTTTATTTTGCAAAGTCATTCATTAAAAGGGGATCACGGTGGCCAAGTGTCTTCATTAGCCCAGTTCGGAGCAGAACAGTAGGACGTTAAATCCCATTTCATTTCGTTTCATTTCATTCATTAAAATAAACTGGTTTGAGTCAGGGTATTTTGGTTTTGAAGATCTTGATTTATCGCTTTTGGCATATAAGGCGCGGGCAAGTGCGGAAGAATCTTGTATAAAGGCCACAGAAATATTTCTTCATAGGCCTATCACGGCATACATATCACCGCAGCCGGAACACAGTTTGATTGGCCGCGGACGCCTTTTTACCACGACGAACTTAACACAGGAAGCTGCTCGTGGCTTAGAGGTGATTCAGAAATTATGATTAAAACAACTTACTTGAGTCCTTTAAAGAAATAAATATAACCATCGCTATGCTTAAATGCCGCTTCCAGACTATCAGGAACTCCTGTCCAAAACTGATTAATATTCATGGTTCTTACTACAATCTCTCTTTGGGGATCCCACTGCCAGAAATATCGATGCTGAAATCATAACAAAATGAAATCTATATAGCTTCATCATACTCGAGCCGCCTAATGCCCTTCAATGGTCGATGTTATGACAAACGATTTTATCACGATTCAATACTACTATATATATAAATGCTTGTTTAATAAATGCCTGAAGAGCCGCTATCGCGGTGAAAACGTTAGCATAAAAATGTAGTTTTATTTTGCCATCTTTAATATTTCAATTATATATTACCAAAGAGCAGCTTTAATTAACTATATGTGTGCGGGATTACCCCCCCCCCCCGGTTATAGTCTGATAAACATCATAATTATACCATTCTATAGAATATACATTTAGTGTTTGTTATTGAGTGATGAATCATCTAGGATTTCCTAGTTTTTTCAAGTAATAACCACTTTTTAAATTAGAATATAATATCATTGAAACCGCAAATTGGAGACATACTTTTGGATAAGAAAAATACTTACACCGAAGAGGAATAGGGCATTTCGTATATAATTATCACTGTACCATATAGCAGCATGGGGTTTCTCTGGGAAGTTTGTCATATCAATAATTTTAGGATAGCCAGCGTCTAATTTGAAATATGTATATCTCCATAACATACTTCCTGCAATACAAAAATACAAAATATTGTTCCATAGAGTTGTATGGCAAAATGTTCCGTTAACGTGTATTTTTAAAAGTGTTAAGGGCGCTTTGTGAAACGCAACCGAAGGCTAAGTTGTCATGGTAAAGTAACCTAATGAACATTTACCATAATATCATCATGGTACTGAAATGATCTATGTGTGGTGCGGTGTAGTACCCCCCCCCCCCCCTCCACCCACCCACCACCCCTCCAACCTCTCTCTTTTGTTATTACACTCCAATCTACTACAGTACTTCTACTTTCTTATGAAGCCACGGTGGCCTGACAAGGACTGCTATATTGTCGTTCGGATGGGACGAAAAACAGAGGTCCCGTGTACACATTGGCGTGCACGTAAAAGATCCCTTGGCAGTTGGAATTCGACATAAGAGTAGGCCATAGTGCCGCTACCCGGGCAAAATTTCCCTCACAGCACACTGCATGACGTATCCCTGTCTTCGTTAGCCCAGTTGGAGCAGAACAGTAGGACGTTAAACCCTATTTCCCCCCCCCCCCCCATCATCTCTTTATTGTTATTACACGCCTATATTAACACTACTAGGACACTTCTATTTTCTTTTGTTAAGATTTCATTACATGCATGTATAGTTTAGTTCTCATCATTCACTTCATAAAAGGAGATTAAAACAGCAGTGGATTAAGATAGCATTAGTCATTATTTTAAAAAGTGCGTTGGGTAGAATAGCACTTTATAAAGATCTAGTGAATAATTTGTGACTAATCACTAAAACAGTTTAAAAGATGTTAAATCACATTTTAGCTGGTGACGTATATATGTATTAGCGACAGGAAAATGTCTCTTTGTTGAAGATTACTTCAAATTAAATGACTCGCCTTCCCGTTACTTACTTACTCGCCCAACAATATATTGAGTGTTGAATGACACGATAACAGTGATAAGCAGATTCGAACTAAAAGATAATGCTTTAATTATCTGGGTAAACTCATTTTATTGCAACAAACTTTATGAGGCATTTTTAATAAATTGCTGTATCACTACCAAAAAATCTGTAGTATCGGTAATACAATTTTATTGCACCGGTACGACCAATCAATTAGAATTGGTAGATTTTCCAGTTTATGTCTGAAATCATCACGTCTTAAGCTTAAGCCTGGACATATGTTTAGGATCTCGAAACCTTTCTCCCCAATAACTAAAAGGGGCTTGCATTCTATCAAATATGCAGAACTAGAGACCCCATCTACGCAATCGCCACTCGCCACTGATCTTTGTTTTTGGAGTTTACAATTACAAATGTATATGAAAGTGAATAAAACATTCTTACCTTTAAACATGTAGGTTTGTCTGGCTGAAGGTGAATATGTAACAGCTCTTATTCTACTGGGGGCACCAGGGAATACAGAAGTAATAGGTTTAGGAAAACCACTGACCAGACCGTTATTATTCATTTTATAAATCATGTTTCTACGATAACCATACACGGCACCATCTGGACCTAAAATCATAATATAGTTTAAATAACATAAATATCAGTCAAAGAACACGTGTGTGTTATTTAGCTCAGAGAGGCCATGATATTGGGCCCCATTCAACTATTCATAGATATACAATATGTCGTAAATAGTAGATGTCACAGCATGTAGCCAGCTAACTGGAGCTCAGCGTAGCCTATATTAAAAAAAAAAACATAAACAAATTATACCAACCTAAGTCTATTGCGTCCATTTTCATATCACAGTAATCGGGTCGCTCTCCTGTTGTTGTTGTTGGTGGTGTTTCAGTTGTTGTAACTGTTGGAACGGTTGTTACGCGTGGATTGGAACCTAATGAAAAACCAAACTAATTAGCAATTGTTACATACGGATATAAAAGTTTATTGATTTTTGGAAGGTACTGAGAGTAATTCTATTAGAGCTTGATTTTCAGAAGGTTGGTGCCTCGCAATGTAAATGTAATCTGCTTAATTTTTCGATTCATTACCGCAATTTTACATTGATAGATTTCGAAATGATAGAAAATGCTGCACCCTTTGGTTTAAGCGACGCCCCTGCCACTTTTCGACGACTTACCATAAAGATACTGTATAGCTCTTATGTCATCGGTCTCTAGTTTCAGTTTAGGAGAATATTTATAGTATGGTGCCATGAGAGCCGGATTAACTTGAGAATGGCCCAAACCAAGTGCATGGCCAAATTCATGAGCTGCAACGATTTCTAAATTACTGCCATCATCTCCTTGTAGGGTCCATTTCTCGCTTTCATCAAAATGGGCATCACCATTGAGGCCCTGAGTACCGGGACGGAAAGCGTGAGCCAATACACCACCTAAAATATAACCAAGTAGAATATTAATGATATATTTGAAAAAGCAGACATTATTGTTTACAGCACCTATCTTCAGTTAAAGTTACAGAAATGTCATTACTTTACTCTCCAAAGGGCAGACCTTAAAACTAATATCTACGCACCAAAATGACCAGTAATTTCCCATGTATTAATCATTGTTTGAAATAAAAACTGACCAATTTGTACCGGTTTACAGACTCGAATTAAATTATGCTCTTTTAGTCATATATTTAAATATTAGTTTCAACGAGTTATGAGGCCAAGAGAGCAAACATTAACAAATTATCTACTAATTAAACGACAATTAATACACCACTTTATACATAAATGAGTGTTTAATCTTTACACTGTATTCACCTTTACATATCAAACAATTTATTTAACAACACTCCGGTTATTTCCTAACATCATATGTCAGTGCTAGAAGGTGATTTATTCGTGTTATATTCTACGGAAATTTCCCTTGTTGAAATGACGAATAAAGATTGTCAAGTCTTTAGGAATGTCATAAATTTCACAAAAATAGTTCACTTGGTTGATAATGACTATTAAAAAGTATTATCAAAAAATCCTAGTAATGTCAAATTCGTACAAAGTGAGCCTTGTTTGACCATTGCATGGTTAGTCGTTACTCATCAATAACATTGCTTTCTATTAATAAAGCATTTGCTAATTATAAAATTAATTTATCCTTTTGATCAATGAATAGGAATAATGACATTATCATGATTATCGTTGAAGTCAATGGGGAACGTTAACTTGGTCGTTATTGCACTGTTATTATTTTGACACTAAGCATTAATGGACTACAATAATGACTATTGTTCGCTTTGATCCAGTCTTTATTGTTTAAAGAAAATTATTCAGGATTATATAACTATCCCGTATCCCGTTCTCTTACTCATCGATGCACAAGTATAACAAGACTAAAATAGTTTAAATCTGAAGATCAAATACTTGTTAAGCGTACCTCTTCCATCAAAGCTGTTATAAGCGCCATCGCCGTGTTCACCATAAGCAAATTTTATCTCAATATCAGCTACACCTTCTGTATATTTAAATTCTAATGGTGTTACTTCAGCCCAATGATCCAAAGCCTTCTGCATGGCCGCTCTACAAGTGGATAAATAAATTAATTAAATAAATAAAAAATAAAAGAAATGTGAAAATTTGTTCATATATCGTCCAGTTCAATTTGCGTATTTTGTGCATTATTATCGCCGCATTAGGCCTCCTTTAACAGTGGAAATAATTTTATTGTATAAACTTACAGTTGTTCAGATCCGGACAGTTGTCTGGTATAAGATACAGGCTTCCAGGTGATAACATTCTTATTCCATTTTGTACCTAGTAAAATAAAACAGAACACAGACGTATAATATATATATATATATATATATATTTTAAACAATATTTTAATTCATTAAATCTGAATTTGGATTGAAGAACGGGCTATGCCTATATGTAACCCCCCCCCTCTCTATCTGATTTAGACACATGTACACAATATAAATATATACATTACATAAATATAGAACATATATAGGATACATAATGGATTTATGTTGCCATACGGTAATAATAAGATATGTAATTTTGCAGTCTAATATTCAAAACTCGTTAAAATATAATCAACTATCGTGATTCAAATTTATAACTCACCTAAAGTAGTGAAAGGCAGAGGTGAATTAGGATCGAAATGTTTACTCGTGTTTCTAATGATATCGGGGAAACCACATCTTGGTGCTTTCATTTTATCTATAGTATCCTGGTCTAGAAAACCAGTTTCTGTCAAACCATTAAATTTCTGGAAATCTCTGGAATAAAAAACAACATTGACATGAAACACACAGAATTTGTAATAGTTATAATACAGACACTATAAAAGACAATAAAAGTTAGAGGTATTTGACAGAGCGTTTAATCTATACGTGTATAACAGAAACGTGCCCCTTTTGATATATAACTTAACCATGTGGTGATGTAGATTTCACTTACCGTACAGATTGTTCGATTTCAAATTCAGAATGTAAAACCCCCGGTTCATCAGTAGATCTTAAGTACCCATATTTTGCTAGAAATTCCTGTAAAACAAATTGAACATAATATATTAGATAATTACAGACAGATTTATAGAAATGAAATGAAATGTAAAGGGATTTAACGTCCTAACCGACTGGGCTAATGAAGACGGTCATACGTCATACAGTGTGCTACGGGGGGAATTTTATCCGGACAGGAGCACTGCAGCTTACACTTATTTCGAATTTCAACTGTCAAGGGTTCTTTTACGTGCACACCAATGTGTACACGAGACCTCAATTTTACGTGCCATCCGAACGACTATACGTTGTATCTTGGCAGGTCATCCGTCCTGTATCAGATTTATAGAACTGTATGATATATAGTATAACAAATGATTAAATAATACTTCATGGTATGATGAATGATTAAATAATACTATACGGTTAATGGTCATTTGAAGTAAATATTATTAAATGTGAATTTCAAGTCTACATGAATTAGAAAAAAATGTTATAAAATGAATAAATTTTTAATCAATATAGATAATAACAAGTTTCTTAAATTACACCACATTCATTTCTTTATTTATGAAATATTATTTGAATACAATTTTATAATTTGTATTAAATTTTATATTTGGTTTATAATATCAAAATTTTATAATTTGTTTCAAATTGATTTTAAACTAATCCAAAGCAAATATTATAATTTTCTGAAATGTTTGATGATAAAACATAAACTTACGGCAGAATCAAACAGCTCATCAGCTGGTTGAATAGGAAAACTGTCTCTCCCTAGCAACGCTTCACCTAAACTCGCCCCGTAAGCAACAGAAATCATACATAACGCGGACAGAAGTCGCCACATTTTTAATACACTTTTCGATAGAAATATCTAATATTTTTCTGTCGATAGAATAAAATGTCAATTCATAAACTTATGTTGAATTACATGATCTACGAGCCCTTAATATACCCTCAATCATCTAAATTCCAACCAATCACAGCATACATTACAAATTTTTATTTGTCATTGGGGATGAACCACCGCTTCGGATATGGGTTTTCCGGTTTAAATGTACATTAGCCGAACTTACCGAATGCCCTATACGGAGTTTAGATTTGAGACCACTTCAGTTGTGGATTGTTTAATTTCATTCATAAATTGAGTGAGATGTGTTGAATGATTCAAATCACGCTCGAGTGATTAAGGTCCCTTCGACCCACGAGATTGTTTACAACCAGTTTTAAAATAGACATGTGACATAATTACTTATCTTTAACTAAATGAACTCGCAAAATTACAAATGTCGCATTTTCTGCCGCATTAAAAAGTAAATAAAAATGAAAATGAGAACACCGACTAATGAAGACGGGATAAAATAAATGTATATATAACTAAATAAACAATTGAATTGGTGACCACTCATCTATTTTCAAGGTTCCAAACATAACAAAAAGATAACATTTTGTCATAGTTCGCCGACAACAAAATAGAATCATAGACTATGAAATCATGCTTAAACAATTACATAGAATCATATAGTATAAAATCATACTATACACAGAAGCAAACATATACATAGGTTCCAAACATAACAAAAAGATAACATTTTTTCATAGTTCGCCGACAACAATATAGAATCATAGACATAATCTATTATGAAATCATGCTTAAACATTTACATAGAATCATATAGTATAAAATCATACTGTACATAGAAGCAACAGAGAGAGTTTGTTTTCTATATGATTGAGTATAGTGCAAATATGACCTCTTGGGAATGGCGTGGGGGTGGGACGTGGGGGTGGGGCGTGGGGGCTTATATTGTTTTTGCAGTTCACGTAAAAGACCAAGTTGAAGTTGGCAGGGATTGGAGAGAGAGAGAGAGAGAGAAATGGGGTTTAAAGTCCACTCGACACAAACTAGGTCATTTCGGGACTAACATATGGTTTAATTTTATTTCAATAATTCGTTTGCGCGTAGGGGTCTTTAGCAGTGGGAGGAAACCGGAGGACCCGGAGAAAACCCACGAGGTTGGACAGGCGACCCTACTCCTTGCCACGTACAACCGGGGATTCGAAACCACACCAGTTGACTCAATGACAGACTTTATGATACAGCGCGCGCACGCTAACCATTCAGCCATCCACCCCCACCCCCACCCCCCACCCCCACCCCCACCATACATAGAAGCAACAGAGAGAGTTGGTTTTCTATGATTGAGTATAGTACAAATATGACCTCTTGGGAATGGCTTGGGGGTGGGGGGTGGGGCGTGGGGGTGGGGGTGGAAGGCTTATATTGTTTTTGCAGTTCACGTAAAAGACCAACTTGAAGTTGGCAGGGATTGGAATATAATAAACAGGGATAACATCCCGTTTTATTAACAATTCTTTTTACCATAAAAATAAAAATTATTACATGTTAGTCTCAAAACGACTGAATTATTTTAGCAAGGAGAAGTTCAACTTCCTTGGCAAAACTTAGTGCACTTTGAACCGTATTAGCGTCCCAAAATATTTTGTACTTTGGTCAACGTTAGTAAAGATCGACATTTTACACCTAATGACTTTCATTATTTGTAAATCTGGGGATCACGGTGGCTAAGTGGGTAAGGCGCTGGCTCGCTAGCCTGGGGGTCGGGTGTTCGATCCCTGCATTGGCCGAGAAAGTTCATCCCGATTTTCCGGCGTGGTTCTCCCTTGTCAGTGATGCAGGACGGAGGGGCTGACAAGGACAGCTGTCTAGTCGTTCGGATGTGACGAAAAACCGAGGTCCCGTGTACTCATTGGCGTGCACGTAAAAGATCCCTTGACAGTTGGAATTCGATATAAGAGTAGGCCGTAGTGCCGCTGTCCGGGCAAAATTTCCCTCATAGCACACTGTATGGCGTATGCCCGTCTTCATTAGCCCAATTCGGAGCAAAACAGTAGGACGTTAAACCTCATTTCATTTCATTTATTTGTAAATCTAGGTATATCGATGACCAGATCCGTAGATGAATAATAATAGGAGAAGCTTCCATAAAGGGGAACAAACAAATCATCCTCAGATCGAACCCTGGTGCAGTCTCAAAGGTCATCCTGTTACGATTTCACCACTAGCGGAATTACGGTCCATCCCAGGATATTAATTATTAATAAAATATAAAACATGGAATTATTAATAGAAACTAGGCGGATGTAACGCGTTATATGTTAATGGAAAATAACAGGTTTGGAGAAAGGAGCGGGTACCATTTCAAATAATGGTGCAAGATTTGATATCGTTTTTCGGTTCCTCATAGGGTTGGTTACATAGCAGCTGCCTCATTAACCCTTTGATTTTCCACCTTGTTTTCACGGTATCAGTGGTGTAAGATGTAGGGTCTGGTTAAAAAAAAGCGTTTAATTGTTCGAATGGGACAACCCTCCTCCCCCACCCCCCAAAAAACGTGGCAGCACGTTAAATAACCTCCAAGAGTTGTAAATTGAAATAAAGCAGGCTGTAGCGCCGCTGTTCTTTTTGCACACTTAAAGGCGTATTCACGTCTTCATTAGCCCAACACGTGCAGAAAGGTAGGACGTCAATCCCCATATTTTTACATATTGTAAATACGAGCAACAATTGTGTCATACTACACGTACAATATTTATCCTTAAGGCAATTTCTAAAAATCACATTTTTACACGTACAAATACGTAATATATCAGTCAGTAAAATCTCATACTATTATTAAAACATATACTAATGTCCAAAAGAAAGTATACACTGTGCATTTTGTGCTGCATCAACTAAAGTCGTTTTTCCATGGTATACGGTATTTGGGTAGAATGTCAATTTGTTTCACATTTTTATTTTGCTTAGAAATGTTGAGTTTGGACGCAAGAGACACACCCAGTAATGCTTTATCAAATGTTTTTAATCTAAACAAAACTTAGTCATACTTTTAGTGTGTATACTTTCTTTTAGACATCAGTATATGTATGACCAGTCCATTAATAATTTTGTCATCGGACATTATCAATGAAATAATTGATAGAAACTAGGCGGATGTAAAGCGTAAGATGTTGATGGAAAATAACAGGATTAAATAGAGCTAAACCTCTAACTCAATATTTTCCATAATATTCGAAACTTAGTCATTTCAATCAATATTGATGTTGTTATCTTCCAGTGAAAATAAAGGGTCCAAATATCAAATTATATATAAGACACAATGAACTTTATAAATCAGTTCTCGAGTCGTGTACCCTATAGCTGTGGACGCCATTTGTAATGAAGAAAGAAACCATATCCCACAAGACAATTCGGAAGTAATTAGTGATGACTGATTCACAAACGATACAATAATAATTTTAAAAAGCGTGTAAAATGGACTAAGCAAGCGTAAACAACCCTTGTTCCATTTTGACAGTCACGTAATTCGCCGAACATAACTGATTAGGAATTACAATATTAACGCGTGGGCATTGAATCACAAAGTCTATCACCGAGTCAAGTGGTATATATGGTTTCGATTCCCTGCTTGTACGTGCACAAGGAGTAGGATCGCCTGTCCAACCTCGTGCGGTTTCACCAGATCCCCTGGTTTCCTACCTCTGCTAAAGACCCCTACGCGCAAGCGAATTATTGAAATAAAAATTCAACCATGTTAGTCTGTGTCGAGTGGACCCCCCCCCCCTCTCTCTCTCTCTCATGCTTTTAGACCCATTTTCGAGTCTTTTAAGATTCCAAAGAATAGAGCCACATGCCCTTTAAATTATGAAAACAAAACCCAAAGAAACTGCAATGGGTGTAAACTATTTGGAAGACAAATATTATAATCTTGCCACTCGACATTGCGTGGGGCCTTCATGAGTAATACGGGAACACAGCCTACCACTCACCAACGCGTCTTATTAATCATATTCAATTCAACCATTTTCACTTTTTAACTAAATTCTTTGTAACAATACACTCTGTATTTGTTAGCAAGAACCTGAACGAATAATAAGCAATCATTGAATAAGATGTTTTGTTTATATTGTGAGCCCGTCTTCTTTAAGATAAGTCGGAGCAGAACAGTAGGACATTAAACCCCATTTCGTTTTATATTGTAAACACCACGTAACCGCCTCTGAGGTGCATCGAGGTTATGTTTCTGTTATTGAGTGCATTAAACGTAAATGTAAATAGACAGCGATTATTTACTTACGGTGGAAAAATGCAAAGGTCCAGTGAATTGTGTAACAATCACAATTGAATAGTTTAGATACATACTTGTTTGCCCAATCTGATTAAAATATAGATCTATATTTCGTTTTTTTTTAATACTTTCAATGGCCTACATTAAATGAAGATCTGACCGTCAGGGGTCGTGCGGACGGCTTTTTGACCCTATGACGTCAGACATTGATTAATCAATCAGCCTTGACGTTTCTAGTGGTTTACCCATGGTTCTGTGCATCGCACGCCAAGAACTCGCCGTAACAGCACGTTTCATTGGCTAATCCCTCACTAACCAGAAAAACGAAACGAAATAGGATCTGTGTTTTAATCAGATTGTTGTTTGCCTATGTAGATTCTGTTTATAAATAGATTTAAAGTTACAATTTCATATTTTCTAAGAAAGTCAAAACATAATTATTTCTATGTCTTTTGCTCAATAGGTTGTCAACTCACTATTATACGATCATAAGTTATCTTTCTCACACTTAAAAATCTTCACACCGGAAATAATAACACAATTACCTCCCTTGTTTTCCTATTTCCCCACCATGGAATAGCTATCTTCAAACGTTTGAATTTGAAGTTGAAAATGATATTTTTGCCAATTTCTCAACTGGCAATAGTGAATTATAGGATTAATATGATTATTCTTTAACAAGGTAGGGCTATTTATAGATAGCATCTATTTTAGGGCTTTTTTAAAATACATTTTAAAAATATAACTTAAAAATATGAAATTTTAACTTTAAACAGCTA